CGCCCTCTGACGTTTCAGGCTGTTTGCAGGCTGCAACATCCGCAAATACAGTCGAAAATTTTGTCCAGACCTATTTTTTCGATTAATATTACCCCATCTGTGGTGTTAGCGTGAATAGATTTTTACAGCGCGTTCATATTCGGCTAGAAAAAAAAAAAAATCGCCGTGCCGGCCGAGGCACGCTTGCGATAGCAAGACGATGGAAAGAAGTTATCAAGAAAGCAATCCAGCAGTACAACGCACTGTGTTCGAACATGGACAAAGAGAATGCTCGACAAATTCCGCTCAGGCCGTAAATTCTAGCCTACGTTAAACAGCGGCAGCTCATTGCTGGGTACCATAACGACGTCGCGAAGCCGTAGATCATTAACTAACTTAATTTCAGGCTGAGAACCGTGATGACCTAAGACCTGGCCAACCACTTCAATTCCTAAACGTCTTCTAGGGATGCTAGGACGGCAAAGAAAAAGGTAGGATTGCTGTACAAATGCAGCACAAACTACTGTCTAAGCGTATACCTTACGAGAAAGCGTGTACGACTAATCGCAGCCTGTCGCGGCACGACAACCTTATCCTTTCCCTAGTCAACGTTGTCTAACGTGGCCAAAAAAGGACACGTAACAGATGCACATACAAAATCTTTGAAGTCTTGCGCGTATTGGCGGCACTGCGGTGAGCTGTGTGCGGCTACACGGTTGTAACAAAAAACAGGCTTCCGTTGGGCGTAACCCTAACATGAGGTCTGGGTCGCGACTGAGCTTTTGACGTTCAACATTGTTCACGTTAAATCACCTTGAACTCTATTTCTATTTGGGTTTCTATTACATAATCATCAAAGAGTGTAGTTTTCACATGTACATGTTTTTCGTAATAACCAGTAATTGGCCAGTAAATAGAGATGCTAGGCGAAAGAGCGTATATTTGGAAAACATCAATATTGATCGAATTATTGTCTTGTATGGTGGAGTGTCTCTAGTATGAAGAAGACGTTTCCCAGTTTCATAGCTGTAAAATGAACAGATAACACAATGTGTAACTGTTAAGTATAGTATCGTTCCCGTAAAATATAAGCTATTTGTATATAATAATACCATGAAATCGTCAAGGGTCATGGCGTAAAAAATGCAATATATATATATATATATTGTGTTTCTCCACAAGAGGTTATGTAAGCTGGTAGTGGATAAAATGTAGAGCGTGGGATTTAGTCCTTGCTAAATGTTTCTCTCTATACTGCATTTAATATATTACAGAACAAAAATGTTTGCCAAGTGTCAATAACTTATTACTCTGAACAGATCATGGAGTCTCGCCTATTTTATAATAAGAGCTCTTTCTATCTGTGCAAAACAATGAAGCTTGAGAATAAAGATGAATCTTAAGATTTTTTTTGCAGTTGGCTTTCGGTTGCTCTTCTTATGGCACATTCTTATACGGCCATTCAAGGCTCTCGTTGCTGACGGTGTGTTTAACGGGGGCATTTTGCTCTTTAACAGCAGTTACCTTTCAAGCCAAAGTTTCGCCAAGCGGACTGACTATTCCGGCTTATAAGAAAGGTTTAAGTTAACCAATGCGAGGTGATAGCCTAGTTTTCCCCCTAGCAACCCCGATACAGGCAACAATATCGAGCAGTGCTTGCTGCTTCCTGATATAGCAGACGATTTAGTTCGGATTTCAGTTTAAAATATTTTTGCAGCTCCAAGAGGTATGCCAGAACGTTCATGCGAACTTCGTGGAAGCTAAAAGCAAATATATGTAAATAGCATTCTACGAAACGAAGTGCATAAACGATCCCCTATAAATGGCATCATCATAGCTCGAGCAGGAAAGCAAAATACAGAACTTTAACTTCCCAGAACTATAATCTATGGATGCCATCTTATCTCTGCCGAATGCATATAAAGAAAACAGATGATATTTAGTTTTTGGACAAAGGATAATAAACCCTGTAGTTAAACTTTTGCCGTCTATGTTCCTGATGACTAGCAGACGAATTGATTATCATGAGATACATTTTTGCTATGGGATCGCTGACGGAATTAGATGGTCCGCGATTCAAACATGGACATTTGACGTAGGTATTATATTGCTGAGTAAATTTCGTAGAAAAAGCTTCTGTTTTGATCAAGTAAGAACTGATCGAAACGATGCAACTTAGCTTCTCATCTACAACAGTGTTAAGTTAAATACATAAACCTATAATTAAGTAAGCACATCGAGAAGCGTTGGGCCCCGGAGATGATAGGGTGCATTTAGTTGTTTGGCATCGCTATGGCCTAGATGGCTGGACAGTCACTTAACAGCTTCAACTTCCAAAGAATCAAATGAACGTGGCCTGGTTGTCAGAAACAAGCTCAATATTACAGATATTTAATAAACACAGTCGTAATCATAGTCGGTGAATCCGATAAAGTCCGCTGATTTTACAGGGTCATCTTGTTGTCCATATGATAAGCGGTGCTTTGATACTTTGTCCCGCGACAAACAGATGGCTCAATTCTGGCCAGTGAAATTGCTCAGAGGTCACCGCGCATTGCGACTAAGAGAAAATAAAAAAAAAAAAAAAGGTGCCTCCGAAATGTACGGCCCTTAGAAAAGGACTGCAATATAAATATTATTTCACTCGTATATGTGCTTCAGTGGATTCGGTTGGATGGCTGTCGGCATTAGCAAGATTCTTAGCCTAAGTGTGCCAGAAGAAGACTCGGCAATAGATCGCGTACATCATGGGAGACATAATGTTCTACGACAAGCAACACCTTTCAACGAAGTCAAGAGTTCTGGTTTAGTGTAATATATTCGACAGTTTTCTTGGATGCTGCACCAGCGCACATAGGAATAGACACGGGGGAATGTGCCCCTGATGACTCTTGCGCACGCTGAACGTAGAAGCTTGGCTTTAAGACAGCAAACCAGAGCAAGCTTAGGTGACAAAATGTACACCATAGGGATACAAGGGAAGAACGCCGACAGTTATTCATTGTGAACGAGACTTCAGAGATGAAAAGGCTTGTCAGTAAGACTAGATAGGCCTAGTGCGGAAAGTCATCACTGAGCTATTAAGGCTAATTCCGGTTTCTATTTTGTGCTAGTTGAAATTAACATTGATATAGGGGTCCATTCTAGCCAGAAATAGCTAGGCATAATGTATATGGTAGAGGTAGAGTTACATGATTAAGCCTGCTTTAGAAGTTGTCGGCTATGGAGATACTTGAATGGACGCCACTTGCCAGCTAGCCTTCGGATTGCAAAGCTGGCGGCCGTCAGTTCGAAACCCGCAGAGATATACGCGAGCGCCGAGCGTAGCTATAAACTCATGAACTCTTAGATGTTGAAAGAAGATCAACACACTGAGATAAGGGTGATATGTTAAACATCTCTGTTAAACTTTGCTGGTGAATATGTCAATTTGTATAGGACAAAAATATAGTATGCCGTGACTGAACAGCCTCAAGCATGACGAGCGGTGATAAGAGCGCGGACGCACGTTGAAATACAACAGCTTTAATCAGCTCCACGTTGCGCCTTTACAGACTAACTTTGGCAAACAACGAGTTACTCCCATTTGTGACTCTATTTAGACACGTGAACAGTCGAATGTGTTAAGCTGAGTCAATTCTCAACTGGTCACAGCCGGTGCTGCGAATGGGTGGCCCAAATAATGACAAACATATATCGCGGCGACCCAATACAGGCCAGATCTGTACCCAAGGGACAAGGCCATGGTGTACCTTATAGTTCAATATCGTATAGTTATTAGATTATCAAGATATTCTACCTTGCCTTGATATGCATCGAATTTGTTTACTATCGACATTAGATGTGGACATATTTTCTAGCTTTCAACCTTCAAACCTGTACTTAAAAATATTGAACTTTAAGTTCCAGAATGCGTGAGGGAAGGAGCTTCCGAATCTATCGAGCTATAGATGAATGTCAGTGTGTCTCACTGCGAATAATATTCGTCCATTTTCGAGGATCATCAGTATAGCGTTGTGTCTACTGCGTATAATGCCGCACCGTATACAGGTCTATTGTCTTGATATTTTTAAACGGGGCGTTCTTCATCTTATATCTTATTAGACTCTGTAGGCCAATTGTATTAAAAAAATCATGTTCTGAAAATTGTAGATGATTATGATTTTTTGATTATTTCGGCTGATCACGTACGACAGATAAGAGTAGTACGCCTTTCCCGCAACGTTAGCTAGCGAAGTATTCTGGACGCAGGCGTCCGTTCGACTTGTTGTGTTGTCAAAAGATCGCAGACCATCGCTTCTTGCAAGGCATAACGATTAAAGATTAGAATCTCTTTAACCGAATCGAATAAGGCTCACAAGCTATCCCGCGTTAATCTTTGCTTAATGTATTCACAAATGTACAAATACGCGCTGTGTACTGAACTATAGTTTTTTTTTATTGAAAGTACGGTATAATTATCGGGCATAACCGTGACGTTTATTGATACTTCGAGGAGCTCCTTGCATCCAGAAAGACAACACCTCTTAATTCATAACGCGGAACCCTCGAGCGTCGCGACAACATGCGACGTTCTAGAGCAAGGAAACGTGTTTGTGGTAAAAACTTGAAACAAGTGTGCCGTTCCAAAGACCCGTCAATGATGAGGACAGACTCCGTTTAAGCCGCCTGCCCGAACTAAGGAACTTCATACGACTCTACCTTTTCTATTTGAAGCCGCACTCCCTCACCGAACTTCTGTGTTAGATACCTATTCATGTTATGCTTTCCGGACGCCTGGAAACAAAATGGAACACCCGCTAGCTTACGCAAACTCTTGTCAAATGCGTTCTACAAGCGCATACGGATAGTTTTAGCGCCTAGGTTGCTATAAAGCTTTGAACGCACTATGTTGCCTTGAAACTTACAGGTTTTTACATAACCAAGGCCTAGTTTCCGACGACGAAGACAAATGGCAATAGCGGGCTGACTATAATAGATGTAAAATCCACATCTAACAGTTTTATGTCTCTTCATTGCAGGCAGCACCGATGATGTTCCCGAGGAGGTTCCGGGAGATGCGAATTGGCTTTGAGATCAGGCAAGCGCAGCAGTGCTTCATCATCTTTGAGCTTAAGTTCGAGCCCATCGTCAAGAGTTCGTTTCGGGTCCGAATTCCGTTCCCTTCACTGCGCAAGGCGCTCCGACGGGCCACCACCGCTGCCGCTGGCCGCAACAAGTGGAGTAAGGCCCCACGAAGCTGCCAGGGGACAGCTGCCGATAGTCCTGCGGCCTCGCAAGATCCACCGTGCACGCAGCAGCAGAAGACAACGAAGAATAACAACAACTTAAACATTAACTGCGCGCAACAGTTTGGTCAGATTTCGGCAACGAATCTTGCTAAAGACGTAAATACAAGCAGTAACTTAAACTCGTTCGCGCTGCCCAATAATCAACGCACCAACAATAGCAACGGCCAACAACCGAAACCTTCCTACAAGGAATCAAAAAAGAGATCAGACGTTCGGAAGACTTTTTCGTCTCCCAAACGAAAACTAGAAAGACATACTGTAGGTATTACAAGCTTTCGAAAAGAATAAGATTTGTATCTGTTGCAAACTGGATGAGATTGATAATTATCGACATTTTTTTCGATATGCTACCTTTTACTAATCCACTCTGTCTTTAGGTCTTGGGAGCGTTGTTGATGAAGAATTCATAGTTATATTTAGTGAAACAATATTATGCATTGCTCGTATGGGCGCAGGTCTATACAGACAGGGAAGTATTGCTAGATATAGTAGGCATAAGGCCAAGGTGTCCATTTAGCGGTAGGCGGATAAGACAACCCAGGCTGATGTTATTATATACCAACGATTGATAAGCTCGAATGTAACTTCCACGTTCCGGAATACAAATACTAGATACCTTCTAAAAAATTTTCTTAAAGAAACTTTTTCTTAATAACTAAAAATCTCCATCTGTCGTATAAATATGACAGTTAAACGCATCATTTAATGGCAATACCTTTTAGGCAAAGCACAAACCAAGCATCTCTGCTCGCTTGGTTTTGCAGTTACGGTAACTCACGCTGGAATAATTGAATGATCGATATGATACAACTATATATCCTAAGATAATAAAAATTGTAGATATAAACGAGCCCCTCATTTCGTTATGTACTTAACCCTGAAACATTTTGAAACTGCATAATTTTATCGGCTTCCAAATGACTCTGACTCTGTTCAGAAATTCTGTTAGAGTTAGGAGAGCTTTTTCGTCTATACGGTGATTAATATGGTACGTCTTCGTCCTCAGAGACACCTCATTCAGTTCGAAACATGCTTTGCAGGCCTAACCCATCCGCGTAAGTTGTCAACTCAAAACAAATTTGTAAAAAAATCTACATACGCTTTTGGTGCATTATCTGATACACTGTGGTCAAAAATTAATTCGATGGAATCGGCTGGTTCGATGATCATTACCGAAACCTTTCCTATCGAATAAGGTATTGACACATTTGTGTGCTAAACAGATCTTCATTGAAACTGAGCTTCTGACGAGATTGCCGAAGGTGTTTCCAGATCAAGCTTCGAAGGTGAATCTTAATTCTTAAGTCCACAGCTTGAGCAATCTATCTAATCAAAATCCGATATATATATATATATATATATATGCACTCCAAATGGTATTATACGCCTTCGAGCGTATGCAATAGAAAAAAAAAAATTTTTTTAAAAATAGAAAAAACGAGCATCGACAAAGCTTTATGCGCCAATATGTTAAACAATTTGAAATTTACATATTAAACTTCTATTTTACTTTTCTAAGAGGAGTAAAAACCCACTTTGTTGAATCATAGCGAATCGAAAGGCATCCAATTTCTTATTTACCGGATTTACCTCAATGAGTAAGAGATGACTGTCACGTTTTTGGTAAAAAATGATGTGTAAAGTTCTGGTGCCTTGTCATTAATGGGAATTTGGTTAAACGGCTGGATCTGTTTATTTGGCGATAATTCATAAATCCGCATCGTGTTGAGGCTTGTGCACCGCTAATGGAATCGAGTCCGGCTGTTCTGCTGACTGAATCGAACTCTAATAGGACTACCACCCGGGTATTGGGTATAAGCACTTATAAGCGTATTGTAAAGTAGAGAAGATGTGTGGTACTAGAGGAACGGTTTCCTATGAGTTGTTTTAGCGGCGGCATCTCATGTACTTGGATTCTCTTGGTGGTCATCAACCATCTGGTCTGGTTCGCATCGAAGTGCAACTGAGGCTCTCCTGTTTGACACTGACCTTGCTCATGCGGCGAAAAGTGCAGTGATCTTCAACCTCGGCAGGTTGCTGCATACAACAAAACAAGCACAAGCAACTGTTAGCCCCCTTATCCATCATCTGCATGAGCAAAAGGTCCCCCGTTCTTGTCCGCCAGGCTCTTAGGTAGAGAGAAACGAAGGTACCGCTAACAAATAATTGCAGCGGTGTGTCTTATTTACGAATAGTTATGCAAACTCACATGATATTCATAAGCTTCGCAGTAACGCATACTTGGCGAGCGTTTTGTAATTTTAGTATTGCATTCGTTTGGAACAAATGCAGTTTTGACGAAAAACGGTGACGCGGTCCGGAGCGAAAAATTGTGCAGAAGAGTTTATGCTGTCAGTTGCATCTTCTATTTGCGTCCGAATAAAAAGACGTTCTCTCTTTCGTGATACGTACACCTATATACAAGAAGCGCGTTACAATATTGCATGCAGCTGCGTGTCTCACGCGTTGCGGCTAAGTTCCTACCCGTCAACCCATTCATGCAGGCGATGCCAGCAATAGAGAACTCTGAGTGATAGGTCCCTAAGTCTAAATTGTCTAGGCCATACTCAAAGCACTATATTATTTTTAAACTAAGTATACACGAAATTTTTTATTAATTTTGAATTCATAAATCCTAAATTGAAACTAAAAAAGACAAAACTTACAAGGGACATATATATCCAAGCAAGAAATATTCGTATGACTTTTATCAGGTTAAAGTGAAAAGAACACATCCGAATAGTGTTACAAGTTTTAGCAACAAAAGATCATTAACGAATATGTTCTTTGTCTTTCCGTCCTTTGATTTCTGATGGATTGAACTTTCAGGCCACGTCGTGCCGCTCCCAGTGTTATTTATTGCGGTAGAGTCGTTTTATTTTTTATCGCTGTTGTCTGCTCGACAGCTGGTGACGGTGGGTGGTGGTCGGCTGGTGCCATGGCGGACGAGGACGTCGAGGGCGGCCTCTTACTGCTGGGAGACACGGGGCTGCAGGAAGTCGATGGCCACTCGCAGCCTCCCTTCGATGCCGCCTCGGCTCAACCCCCGTCGCCGTTTGGCTCAGCCGCTACCGTTTGCCAGGGGCCGTTGGCCACCCAGCAGGGTTTTCCCAGGGGAGCTGCCCCACCCCTTGTGTCGTCGACGCCACTGCAGAAGTTCTTCAGCGATCACCCCCAGGTTCGAGAGCCGGTGGCACGATACCCGGGGGGATCTGTTTTTACCCCCGGAAATGTTACGGCTGCCGGCGTTGTTGGCGGCGGTCTCAGCCAACGCGCCTCCTCCACTTCGCTGGGACTTTCCCCGCGCGGCAGCATCACCTCGCCTCGCCGAGAAAAGACCGCTACCTTCGATCTCACCGCACCGACCAGTGAGTACCAACAGAGCATACATATTACACATGCATGTGTATATATATAACTATGGTAATGGCGCACACAGGCATATTTACGGAACCTGTGGTAGAATACTATGAAGAGGGTACGAGTCAGGTTTTGAGGAAATAACTGCCCACCATTAAGTACTACTGAGCAAAGGCACCATATGAAAGGCTTCCATGCAAACATCTCAAAGTCAATTTTTTTCTGGCTAAGGAAGAACATTTATTACCCCTCAGTGATCTTCATAATTTGACAAAATATTTCAGGGAAGTTTGCGAAATACTAACTCCAAGAGTTAGCTAAGGAAACGGGCAAAATAGATAGAAAGAAAAAACTTGCTTTTCGCACAAAAAGGTCTAAAACCACTTCGGCGTACGCTATTATTGCGGAAACTACAAATTTGAGTTCTGTTCAACTTAGCCTAAAAGCTATTCCTCGATTTAAAGGCCAAAGTAAATTTTATTTTTTTTGCTTGACAACTCGTCATAAGTTCGAGTGAACCATTTAAATGTTTACATTTAAATGATGGATTTGTATGCTTATTTCATTGACGGAACACACTTTCTATGCTAGAGATGCTGCATTGGTACAGCAGACTGCAATTGTCCTGTGACGGTGTAGAACTATAGAAAATTGAGGTTGCTACAACGTCGCATGCCTTTATTTTTGTGATTATCGTCATAGTAATAAACTGAGAGAAATCGTTATCTTAATAGACTCTAACTTTACACTACTTTGTACGTTTAACTTGTGTAATTATATTTATTGGGAGATTCTTAGCCTTAGACTATACATGTTTAATTTTTCATGAGGCTACATTCATTTATATTGTCTGTTATGTGTTTCCCTTATATATATATATATATATATATATATATATATGTATATATGGTATATATATATATACCATATATATATATATATATATATATATATATATATATATATATATGTATATATGGTATATATATATACCAGTTGTATTTTTGCTCTATTGTAATATTTGTAATTGAGCAGATGTGATCATAAAATAGCTACAATTTTCTTTGAACGTTAAAAGCTTATAATCCCTCCAATCTATACATCGAAACATCGTCACGTCGATGTCAGCTGTTATGGATCCCGGCCGAAACCCGAGCCGGCTATTGAGGCGGATCACTGATCGCTAGTCTCTGTTATCCAACTAGGCTGGCATGGTGTAGGGCCGTATCGAGGGGCGCCGAACGTCTACCGGCTTCTAAAATCGCCACCGCGTTCACTGCATTGGCGAGATAGTGATGTCCTGACAAATATATTTCCTTTAAAGAAAGAACTAAAAGCTAATCGGCCCCATAATTGCATCAGTCTTTGATGAGTTTCGTAGAAACTGGGGGTGCTTTCAACACTCGACAGGGTCATAGTGAGAAATTCATATACATCCCGAGAGGCGCAAAAACTTCTCACACATAGTTTCCCACGCATAGGGTTCACCGAAATTAATTTTTATAGGTCAGCCTGTGTTGATAATTGGGATGACTAATGCAAGTATACTCTATCTCCTTTGTTATAGAAATAAAAGTACGAAGCTGTTAAGAGCGACGGTGACTGCTGTCTCATCGGCCACAACCGTTGATGTGGCTTTGCTTACATCGGTGTCTAATTTTGCTGGTCAGTAAAGTTGAATAACAGTACTCCTTAAGGGCCGCAGAACGCTTTCTTGTCCGGGGTAGGACTTGTACGAAAGATACTACAGTGATTCGTCTGAACGTCTGTGTTCGCTATTCGAATCATGCTTTTGCGACTGCGCTTAACGGTGCGAGATACATGGAGTATAAGAGGGCTATATCGTCGGTCCGAATGCACAAAACGGTAGTTTAATTTCGAAGGCAAAGACTGTCTCAGCACCGCGGACGCGCTGGAACAGGTCCTTACTGAAAAGCTGCAAATAGAGACGCAAAAGTGAATGAATAGAATTTGAGTCGGGTGCCCGCATGGGACTCTTGGATCACTGTGAGAATTTTTTGCGCCTAATTCTTTCGTAGGCTGTCAACTATTTTTGGCATCAGTGGGCGTTTAATGTTGATTGAAAGAGAGTCCAGGATCTTGTGCCTCCTACCCCCATCGCACGGTGTTCATGTAGCTCCTTCGCGAAATGCAGCACATTGCTCTGGCAGAGAGAAAAGATACCGAATAGCAAGGCAGTGTGTTGGATACCTCTTTGCTTTAATACCATATATCTTGCAGGTTGTACTGAACATAATATAGAGTCTAATTTACCATTACTAGATTGAAAAATTCTTGGCTAAGCTTTCGCGATCATTCCGGACGTATAAAATGCCCGATTGCTATATCCTTCTTGTATAGTATTTTCTGGTTTGAATACGAGAATATTTTATTTAGATTTACATTGAGTGTCACCCCTTGTTTACAGGCAAAATAATCTTAGGTAGTTCCGCAGTACTGAACAAAATAGAATATATATCTACTACTATCGCGCATGGGGGGCACAAGTTTGCATCGGATCAGAGAGGCTTGTATTTCCTATAGATTAGCTTGTTTATAACTTATGTAGTCACCGAGTTCTCGATCCAGGCTTTGCAGACCATGAGAATTTCAGGGATTTTTATAAGAATAAGGCTGACCTGGTACGTTGGTCTGTCAACCTATCATGCTACAAAGCCGGTATGAATTCCAGTGGCTACCGATGTGGATCACCATCATTCAGATCTGAACCGAAGAACTGAGCTTGTTTTATTTTTATTAAAGCCAAAAACGTTGCCACATCTAAAACCGTTGCTTTCTCAGCTTTTTTATGCCTTTTATTCATCCGACGTATATGTCTTCCCGAAACGAATATGCTAGCGAATATCATCGACCGTTAAGAGTGTGCATCACAGGTAAGTTCAAAGCCGTGACGAAACCTCAGTCTACAGAGTTGCGAATTTGTATTGGGCTTTAACAGCTAAAACACAAAAGAGATTTAGCCAGTGAGTAAGCGCCATGCGAAATATAGTTGACTAGTAAAGTGAATTAGCTACTTCGCGACACTCAAGCTTTCGAAGTACTGTTAAGGCAGCAAACGCTTATGTATTGATTCCACCTCACTTAGTGAGCATTCTATTTGTAATTTAAGAGAAAGTCCTTTTCGACAGCAGCACACGTTCGTTGGCAGCAAGGGTTCCCCATAGGTGGTATCACAGCAGTATAAATAGTAAACAAAAGTTGCTGTACTATATAAAGTCTCATTATGTATATAATCTCAGGCATCGTTACACCCAATCTCGTTGTTTCTAACGCTTACAGAAAATACGAAACATCCCAGAACTTCCCTGAGAATGGTGTCATTTACAGAGATCGACACCATCAAGGGATTTCGATGACCAGCTTGCTTAATAGAAGGACATATGTGTTTGCCAACCACACCTGTGAACAGCATATACCATCCCTCTTCTTGTTCACAGTGATTTGCGACATGTTAGTTATAGCGGTAATCTATAGACGCCGCAGAGAGCTTTGACTTTTTTCAAATTTTGGCGCCGTCGAAACGCCTCTAGCAATGTTAACGGTCCAAACGCACAACTGTTTGTTTCGCTTACACGTATAATAAAGCGGTAACGTCTAATAAATAAAAGCTATATAAACTAATAATTTAAATACCACATAAGCTTTGAAAATAATTTCTTTCATCGCAGCGATTTTTTTTGCAGAATTTCGGATTTCCTTTAGAAATACATCTGTGTCTATTTACAGAAATGTTTGTACGGGAATTTTCGTACACCAGGAACGGTCACCTCAAAAACGATCCTTCTAGCGTGCCAACGAAGAACGGTAATCAGTAACCAAAATCGTTTGCTCAGCAGTGCCATTATAACTTGCTAGTTGAGGGTATTAGATTCTACCGTAAGGGCAGCACTACTGGGTATCAAAAAATGACATTCGAAGCAAACGACAAGAAACGCCATTTATTGCAGCAGTGAAGCAGTGAAGATGTCGCGCACAATGTGTTGTTGAAGTCAAGCAAATACTGCATGGGCAAAATCTATAAACTCTGCAAGAATAACTCACGACAGCAACAAGACTCTTTTGGAGCATCGTCCGCATTCGCCTGGTATCGTGCTCTCCAACTACCATGTACCGCTAAACCTTCACAATATGCTTGATAGTCATTAACATTAGAGGGAACGAAATAAAATTGTTCTTATTTTCCACGTGTCCGAGTGGACGTTCATATGTACACAGAGATTCACATCTGGCTAGGGAGACCGTTCTCGCTTAATGGAAATCGATCAAAAAAACACCAAAACGCTCGAAATGGCTAAGCGCCTACCTGGAATTTAAACGTTTGTACCTGTATGAAGAACTTCATTTATTCACGCAGTCTTAGCTAAATAGTCTATATGGCATGTATCGAAACTAGAAAATAAAGGTTCAGATTTGCTGCTTTAAGGATAAGACGTGATTTCCGACAAAGTTTACATGCATATATGCCGCAGAGCTGAACACTGCTTAGAGCGCTGCATCGGCCACTTCATCCTTCGAAGTGCTATCGTTGTGAGCGCTTAGTCCTTACAACGCTTGTTACATTCGTATCGCCGATCTTCTCTTTACTGCCAAAATGCAGCACAACAAAAGTCTCATAGGAGAAAGGACGAACATAGGAAAAAAAAGGAAGACAGATGCAGCTGTCGAATTTGCCTTAATCGTGTTGATTACCGTCTTTTAGTGAAGCAACGAAAATTCTCTCGTAACATACTCCACTTCTGTGTTTGGGCACCACTTCGAGAACAAATAAAGCCGGAGTGGGTGTCTCGACTTGTTCGTAGTATACGGAAAGGCCAAATCAACGCCGCGCGGGGATATGAGGAAAGCTGGGAGGGCACGTTCTGCTTGAAATGTAGTAGTCGTTCTATCGTTTCAACTGACTGCTTAAAGGACTTTACATATGAGGACAGGCAGGCAAAGCACGGATTCAAGATACAGCCACCTAGAAAGGCTGTCCTATGTTACTTTCGATAGAGTTGTGCATCTATATAGATTAAGTGATCATCTAGTAGTAGTAGTAACACAGACTCGCGTGTCATTGGAGGAAAAAGGCGAGTCAATTGAAAAATGGCGGGGTTAGTTGCCAGTGCGCCGTCCATTTATTAAAAAGTAAATATAGAACAACATCTACGTAGGCCTAGGACATATCGATGGCTCCGGAGACTTGACGGAACATCCAGTCGATGCATAGGCCAAGCGATTAGCTGTGACTAGGCTTCGTTCATCGGGAAGTAAAGTAGGTTCTAAATAGTGAGTTTCGCATCGTCGGCGGAAAGTATTGCAGTGAGATGCAGACGGGGTCACAACCTAGAATTAAACAGATTAGCGTTATTTAGGATTATAACAAGTCATTTCAAGTCGAAGGCAAAATAGGCCTGTCAGCAGCTCATGTACTGAAGGCGTCGACACTGTTCATTATCCAGAAAAATGAGTAGGACAAATCCACATTCACTGATTCATTTTACCAAGACCTGTTACTTGCCATCGTCTGATAATCCAGATGCCGCGAAAGCTATCTGCTACACTGTCCGAATATCATCCAAATTTAAAAATGTATTGGACGTCATCCAGGATGATGCCCTTGAAAACCCATACGTGCATAAACTGCATTTAACGACCTGCTGTTGATGCAACGATTAATGTTCAATATTGTCAGTGTTATTTGTTTTTGACGTACATTATTTCCCGCGGGTAGTAACTCAAAACGATCATTATTATTGTTATATTATAAATGTAGGTAGGCACAACGCGCGATCACAGATCTTCTTCACATATATTTTATAACGAGCCAGATTGAATTTTAGATTTGCAAAACTGACAGACCATAGTGTCATTGCGCCGTCATAGATAACAATATAACAATATATCTTGATTTGCGTTCTAGGAGATCTCATTGTAAACTGAATAATCACTATTAGCTCAGCCTTCTTTCTTCCATTGTGTTCTAACTTTCTGCTTCAGGTTTGATAGATTCGTTGCGGGGGTCGGTGGCTTCGGCGGAGGCTGCCCTACCGCGGCCGGAGGGGATGCTCACTCATGAAGAAAAACGGTTCCTGTTGGCCGTCGAAAGAGGTGATCTCGCCACTTCTAGGAGGTATGATTCAAAGCGTTAAAATCTGTATACTCACAATTATACGAGAGCGAATTTCGATGAGTTTTTAGGTAGCATGAAATATCTTTGTTGTAAGCGGCGTTTGGTAGAATGCTCACCAACCAAACCATTTGTACATAAGAAAGAAACGAAGTTTGAAGCTTATAAAACTGAACAGTTTTAATCGTATGCGTTCGGCCTAAGGAAAACTAGAAAATGATTCAACACGTTTGCTTGACCTAATTCAGGCTCAGACTAATCATAAAATGGCCATGTAGTTGTACTCAAAATTTGCATCAGCTAAATGGTCGTCGTTTATTGTCTAATCGATGGTATGTGAAATGGACAGGATTTATTTCACAGTACTTCACCCATTGAAATCAGGGCTCGGGTATTAGTTCATACTTACCAATGGAGACCTTCGGCCACTCAAGGCTATAGTACACACAACCATCTATTTGAAAATTTGTTACAGATACATTCGCCAGAAATATATTTCTGTCATATTTTTCTATTTTACTGCATTATTACGGGGTGGCTTCCGAGCGAATCTCTTTACTCAAGCGTTTTATCTATTCCCTGTTCTGCATTATATATATTCATCTTAAATAAATGCTTTCTACGACTTTATTCTCAAAATATGATAAAATGGAGTATATATATGGATAATACGGAACGTAGAATTATATAGTGTGCGTTGGCGAATCAATGGTGTCCATTTGTTGTTTCTGTATTGTCCTCATGACAATGCGCTATTTTGCTTCTAATATAGCCATACAGTTCACAGCCAATATATTATTTAACTATATTGCTGATTACATAGATATCAGAGCTGCTCTATGGCAAGGTGCTTCCTTCCTTCGTAAAGGAAGAAGACTGAGGTAGAGCGCGAGCTAAACGTGACAATGTGGTATGTCGCCAATATATTGGATAATAGTGTATACGTTGAAAGATAGTCGCTACAATTTATTGCAACTCCCTCCCGTACAAAAATATCGCTAACTTATCGGACCGAGTAAAGAGACGAGAAAGATTCTCAAGACACTAAGGAATCTTTTCCCTAGTCTTCCAAAGCCTTTCTCTGGCTAGCCTGAGATCAAGAAAGAAATAACCAGAGAAAGAGAAAGAAACGGCCGTATTGTGAAAGCGTTCGTCATCCGTTCTGCGACCTGATGCCAGCCTATCTTTAGCGGTCTAGAATCAAAGAGGTGAAGAAAAGTTGACTATTTCAATGGCCTCAGGACAGCCCCAAGACCGTTAGACTCCTCCAGACAGTTTGTCAGAGACCAAATTCACCTTGTCCTCAAGTATCTAGCTGACTAGAACCTAGGTCGCACATGCCATCTGCAACCTAGGCTCTAGTTGGCGAAGGCTGTTAGGCATCCATTCGTTAACATGTGCTCGCTTTGATTCTTTTTTCTACTCGCGTAACATTGCTTCTGCTGGCTGCTAAGCGTTTCGTGGATGTGGAGGACTATCTCTGTGCAAATATACCTAGGAAACAACAGGGTAGTTGTTGTTAATTGATGACTGGCGAACAGAGAGCGAGATGGTCAATTAGTTATGTCCGTCAATACTGTTTATCAATTTTATGGCTCTTCGCGTTGGTGCAGATTCAGCAAATGACCTCGTTTTTTTTTTTGCTACTGAATCCAAAGTACGCAGTTTAAAGGAGAAGATAATACCTGTAAACGCGGTGGAAGCCCCACAATATTAGCTAGCTGAGTCATAGTTTAGTCATTTTCGCCATTTGTTTTGTTATCCTGCTCCGCCTTGCAACTCTGTTCGTCGCTGGATGTGACCACTATTCCAACGGTAGTATCAGCATCAGTAACGATGGGGGCTTAAGATCAAAAACTAGCGTATGTCTTGCCCGTCTCTAATGTTTTCCTGCCTGTTTCTTCCTGCGAATGCGACATGTAGTGCTGACACTCCAAAAGCAACATTGGTGTCACCCGACGATCGATCCTCTTTTACACTCGTGAGGAGCGTGTTGTTATTTATCTTTATCTTTCTCCTCCTGCTGCTGTTGCGTCTGGTACTGTCGTTACTCTGTGTTGCCAACTCTCCGTTATTTTGCCTTCAATGACGTCTGCCGGCCAGCTACCGCTACGCAGTTCCTATGTGACGAGAGAAAGCGTCTCGCTCTACTTGTCAAGATAACGTCCAGCACTTCCGGAATTGCACCTACCGTAATGTCCTTTGCCTTTCTAGAACCGGTAACAGTAATCGTGCTCAAGCAAGGTAGCTTTTTTAGATGATCTAAGCAAACAGCCATGATAATGTCCAGTGATCAGCGGCTCAGATCTCATTCGTCAATAGCGTCTCATTTGTAGGGCCGGCTGTCATTGCTTTGTTATAGTCATCGCCGTTCAAGTGGCAACTATAGTTGCCACTGAACTGGTTATTCACGTTGAGCAGCTGTTCCATTTTGCTAGCGTCGCTACCGCCCTATGGAAATCTGATCTTTTTATCAAAACCAAGATGGTCAAGGCAAAAACCTGTCTGGCGGCTTATTTTCTGACTACGCAAGTTTGAAAACGGTACCAAGAAAGAGCAAACGCATTGCTGGCCGCGCCGAAGTTCGTATTGTGCGAATGCGTCCCGTGACGCAACAATACGTGAGCCGGAAAAATGCGAAGATGGGGCATTTTCTCACACAAAAAACTGTTGCTGACAATACTAATAAGGGCAGGATAGGATCGTCTCCTTTGCTGTGCAATATTGCTTGCTCCGTCACGCTGGTTTTTGATTCTCGCCGCTAGATTCCAGTTCTAGTAACATGTCGGAAACAACTTTTGCTTTGTTGATGTTCTTTTTTGATCATTGGCTGTTGCCTTGATTGTCCTTAAGACATACAATAACGATATGGAGGGTTTTTGAGGAAAGTGACGAATACCTCGAAAGTCGTTGCCTTTCACAGGATTCTGTCGTTGACTCCTGCGGGCCAATTGAATATCAATTGCACAGACCCGCTGGGCCGCTCAGCATTGCTCATGGCCATCGACAATGAGAACCTCGAGATGATCGAGCTGCTGCTTCACTACAAGGTAGGCAAACATTACTATAAACTTTAACGACCATTAATTGCAATAATTACAAAGAGAGAACACATTTAGACGAGCCGGACGGTTTTAGAGAAAACATGTATTTGGCATATTGCGCGCATCACTTTTGGAAATACAGAGAAGACCATATAAAAGTCAAATTAGCTAACTAGATTACTACAAAATCAACGAGTCGTCTATAAGTTAGGCTTCAAATGCCCTATAACAAAACTTCGCACGTAACATTAATACACCCATAAAAAGCAGAGCATCAGTACACACTGCCGTGTGTCTATATTTATACATAAGTACACACACGGCGAATGCCATGATTTGATGGTCTGAGAACCGGTAACCATTGTCATCTTAATACAGTCATTATCGCGAGCGCAAAAAAACGTCGGGAATTAAATAATGGCAAACGGAATGAGTAACAATCGCTAGGATGTCTGAGGTCGACGTATCAGTCCTCACCAATATTTATGCCTAGATAGGTATTATATAGGAACCTGTTCGCAAGTTACGTAACGATAACATAGTCGGCTATTACATTGACAGAGCGAATAGTAGGAAGGTAAAAATGCGTGGATATCGTTAGATTGTGAAAATTGAATTTCTTGATACACGATAATATATTAACAGATACACAGAAATAGTCTCGTTTAAAAACAAGCAAGCACAAATATAATATAAATATGGTAAATTCATTCACTTGACAGACTGCTCCTAATTTTGATAACTTATTATCGAAATCGAGACTTATTCTATTTTTTTGATGTTCTAGAGAGCTGTAGGTCATATAAGATTAAATGCAAGTAATCTAATGCGATAATCGGAGTTGTAGGTGGACACCAAGGACGCGCTGCTGCACGCCATCTCCGAAGAGTATGTGGAGGCTGTTGAAGTCCTATTAGAACATGAAGAAGCGATCAAGAAGGCTGGCGAGCCTCACGTAAGTCTCTATTAATGGTCACTGTATGAACATTTAACGTACTTGTTCAATAAAGAGATATGCTTTGATGTTTTGTAGTATCATAGGGTCACGCTGATAGACTGGGGAATCACTGTAGGTAATTTTCGCAGAGAACAGTAATGGCGATCCTCTCCATATCATTTGGGGTCCATGTTTGCCTGGATTCTATTCCTGATCACATTAGGTTAATAGCAGACTTTCGAGCCTCTTAACACTTAATAGTCGGACATTAAATCAGTTCAGTATATTGTTAATTTGCTTAGCAGACAACCATTTTTTCGTGTGTACATTTTATAAGCCGTTTAGTCCGTCTGGTTCCCGTTACATTCTGTTCCGTTAATTCGTCTAATTCCCAATACGCTGGCCCAGTAAACCGCCCGAGATCACTTCCACCATTGATTTATTTGATTTGGATTAGGGCTACTATAGTGTAAAAGGTAAAACAAATTAACCATGCAAAGGTTTTGAGTAAACAGAATTTCAGCGTCAGGAAATTTGTGCCATTGAAGTGTCAGTATGATAGCAATATATACTTATTATCTACGTAGTTGCAAATGATCACTCGTCGGTAGCTACCTAAAATGCTTGTATTGAAATGAAAACCTTTTACACCTATGTACGCACACCGTAACCAAATGTTGAGCGATTCGCCATTTTGATGCCTGCAGTGGTGGCAATCCTGCTGCTGAACGACATCTGGTTTGGCGTCCCTTAGTGTCCACGTCTTTGTTACCCCAGGCCACTTCAGGTCACCCCTTCTCCCTCCTCTCATCGCCCTTAGGACAGCTTCAGCAGGTGGGCGGTACATGTAATGCTAGAATAGCGTCGTCATCTGGTACCCTTCCCCGATCTTTGTACAACATCCCTAGAGCGGTAGCTTTTGATGCCTTTCTTTCGGAATTCTTTGATCCTTTTGCCATCCCGCGTTTTATGAGCTGCGAGTCAATTCGTGTACAGAGAATTGTGTGACCAGTAAAGGCGTGCGCCCCAGATAGGGGTGACGTTCTCTGACCGGTCTGTCCATATGTTTCGTTCTATTTTTATAGTTTTTTATTAATATTACTAGGCAACTACATTCGAAAGCTAGTCAAAGCTGTAGCCAACTTTGAGTGTGTTCCTTTTACGCTTGGACGCGTTCGCATCAGACGTATAATTCCAGCAGCAGCGTGGGGAAAGAGCAAGAACGAAGCCGACACAGAATGGTCAGAAAAAATCGTGAAACAAACCAAAGGGATTAGGCTGGCCATAGCATTTCAGGCATCAGAATTAAATGCTTCCGTAAATTTAGTGTTAATTTCAAGTCGTCCTTTTAGCTAGCTTCCTCTATGTAGACGCGGACCTTGAATTATTCGCATCGAAAACCAATATATTCTATTCTGACCATTGCTAGCCCATTGAAGATTGACCCCTGTCTAATTTCTTTGGTGTAGCCTTGGGCAGCCTTTCAAAGAAGATGGCGGCGTTCAAAATCAACTGGACGTGGTAGATCAGTCAAAATCTGTCTGACGTTTTAAATTCCGAACGCATGGCAACAAAGCTATATGAAATTGTCTTAAACATTGAAGACAACCCTATGTTGGTTGTATATTTAAAATGACACACTGGCCACTGGATTTCTTCAGCAGGTCACATGCATATGCAGCGGATCAATCCAACCATTGGTCACCCTTCCGTAGTAGAATAGATCCCCGCCTTTATAAGCCGAGCTTTCGTGTGCGTTCAATGGGTAGCGACCCAAACGTTGACCAGCAATGCCTAACGAATAGCCCGATCCCATCGAGGGGAAATCCATTCGATCCATCCTTTTCTCCCGCTCCATTCCGTCATCAATTCAATACCATCCTAAGAAGTATGCTTCACAGAGAGGCACTTCCATCGTGAAGAGTTTTGGTGGTCATTTGTGAACCACGAGCTGCAACTAGAACAGTTGTACGCCGGCTTGGCGGTCGCTAATCAACCTTAACCTATTGGTGGAATGTTCGTCGCCTCGCCTTGATAGATACAACTAGGTAAATAGATAGCATCACTGTTTTCGGATACCACCAGTTTACTGGCCTCTCTTTGCTTGTACCCATTCTGTATTCTAAAAGACGCCGCCCTCTGCAAGCGAAGGCCGTATTTACTTCGTCTTTTGTATCAGTACCCAAAAACAATTCCAGTTAAAAGTACTCCGAACAAACGTTTGCTTTTCCTATGCTAGTGTGAGTGTCTCAATAGATGATAAAAAAAAGAACCCTTTACAAGACGATGTTCAATACTATTAATTGACTATGGTATACATAATTAATAGTGAGGAATATTGATTGGGCTGAATTGAATCCGACTTGGGATGTAGGGTCGGAGCATCCGCTATGGGTTCGAACTACATTGCCCTGCCTATGAGCATCAAATAATTTCTTACCATCTATCATTGGTTGGATTTAGCTGACTGTGCAACGTTAATTGCATTTTTATACTTTACAATGTCTTTTTCGAAGCTGAACAGACTAACAGAGTACGAAGCTGACTGATTAGAACATGAGACCGAACCTCTACGGAATAATACATCGAAGTAAAACGACACGAAGCGATTCATAGAAATAGAGGACTTACTAAACCCTAGATTTAGCTTTGTTTAGAAGCCTGACTTGATTACGGCCCCTCGATTGTACTGCGACGCTGTACGTCGGAACTGGCGCATGCCAAATGAATGCCTGTGGCTATTTTCAGCTTATGCTATTTCTGTACTTCTGCTACAAATATACCGAGAAAAGCGTCGCAAAATTTATTATGCAAAGATGTATGCAATATAATAAACGAATACTATCACCCAAGGCGCAATTCAATCTATTTTCAAAGTTTATTTTAATTCAAATTGCTCAAGTGTTAGCAAACTATGTACAGCATTAGACAGACATTATGATAAACGATTCCAGCATGGATACTTTAGTAATCCTAGGGTGATCAGTCATCCACGCAACGCTATTGTGTACCTAGTCTTTTAAACAGTGTCGTTGTTTCCATTAATTTTGTAAAGGCCGGTTTCCATTAGTTTTTATAAACAGGGTCACAGACCGACATGCTCGAATAAGGCCAGCTGCACTAAGTAAAACAAATTTGCTATGAAGTATAATGTAGTCTACGGTGGTAAAAACTGATTAAGAGCTTTCGTCACGCATGCGGCACGATAAACAATGCTATTATACTTGTATTGTTGCGGATATTACAAGTGAACACACGAGGCTGTTCTGTTTCTGCATATAACTTGTTTTTACCAAGCTTAAGTTCAACCTGCAAACCATTGGCATGGTCTTGAAGCCTCGGTTTGGCTTTCTCCTTTGTCTGTGCTCGTTGTCACATGGCATGTTTGTGTGTATTTCGTTCTATACATGTTGTTTGTCTTAGAGCTGGGAAGCCATCGAGCGGGACACAGCGACCTTTACACCCGACATCACTCCGTTAATACTGGCCGCGCACCGAGACAATTACGAGATCCTAAAAATCCTACTGGATCGGGGTTACACCTTTCCAGCGCCGCACAGAGTACGCTGCGGATGCGCAGACTGCGTACGTTCCAGGTATGGACCTATATCTCACAGGCAATTGTCCAATGAAATCCAATGAATCAATTCAATGAATCTGCCTATATAGGTTACAATGCTTTTTAGGAAGATGTTCGTTTACGCGCCGTTATTGCTAGAGGTCATCGCCGGTAAAATCGCACCGTAATATAACGTGTATGTGTGGTATCTCTTATTATTACTCCGAAACAACAGGAGTATTTGCAAAAATGCAATCGAGTCCCTAATTCTAGCGGAATTTTCTTATTTCTTAAAAAGCTTTTTCAAGCAGCTAATGCACATTATGAGCTAATTCCCTTTTTTATTATCAATTATATAGAACGAATAGCCAAAAAGAGAACCGGACATAACTACAGACATAAATGACTTCCGCTGTTGAACTGCAATGTATGATGGTTATATATTACTTTGCGAGGCCAATCACGGTTCCTGCACGGTTGTCGCCAATATCGTTTGTAGGTATGAAGACAGTTTGCGGCATTCACGATCTCGGATAAACTCGTACCGGGCATTATCCTCCCCCAGCCTCGTAGCGCTCTCCAGCAAAGATCCCATCCTCACCGCGTTCGAGCTCAGCGGCGAGCTGAGGCGACTCAGTTTCCTCGAACATGAATTTAAGGCAGAGTATATGGTAAGTGCATTTACCGCTCGTCATGTTTTGCTATTCAATATTATACGGGTAGCGTTGCATTCGTAAGTACCAGCGATGACATTCAACGTGCCGGTTCAGCTTGATTTGAACCTTCCGACCTGGCATGTTGGTAAAATATTATATATTTTAATGGTAGATCTTCACAAAACGAAACACTTTTAGTATCACAGTGGCTTACAACAATCAATATTTAATTACGATCGCCAAACGAAACACGTGCTATAAGTGCTGTTCGAGCTGTGACGATACAATGCGGCCACAAATCAAAAAAGGGATAAGTAATAGCAAATAAGCCTAATGTCTATAGCGAAAAGCGAAGGTGTTTCACTTTTTTTAGATCTTGTAAAGCGCCTGTTCTGTGGCTATCGTAACTACCAATAACAATGGCGGTCTTGAAAGTGAGTTTTTGGTGCAGTTGCGGACGTAACCACGCCTGTGGGTCGCTTTTGTCTCTGTTTCTATCTAAGCCTCCCTGTCGCAACGACAAAACTACGAAAACTTCGCGCATTAATATTGTTTACGCCTTTTCGCCATTGTAGTGCCTTTTTTCGTGTCTGATCGTCCCTTTTTACTCCTTTGTGTTCGCACGATCCCGTCATTCTTTCAATTGCCTAGAGGAAAAAAGCAGCCGACAAACTGATTCCTGTCGGCCAAATTTTGCGTCCACGGTGCGTTTTTTCTATTGTTTTCTCCTTTCTTTTTTGCTTTTGCATCATACATAAAATTCATTTCTCTCTCTCTCTCTCTCTCTCTCTCACTCTCTCACTGTGTGCGTGAACGTTTCTCATTTTCTTTTGCCTATCGGTTTTTCAAAGGCTACTAGAGTTCCATGGCGTCGTTTTTCGTTAAAGCATGGCCATAGTTTCCCTTTGGACAGCTGCGATCTGACGTCTTCTCAGAAGGATCCGTGCGTACCTAATATAATAACCTATATCGCTGTTGCGGTCGTATCTGCATATCTTTACGGTACCTACCCGGCCAGAGCCCAAGATCCGGTACTGGCTCGAGGTCTGCCGCTGGCAAGTTTTCGGCTGGTAGTCCGTCCTTCCAGTGTATGATGTCGTAAAATCCTATATGTGCTACCTCCTGTACGATGCAGCTCATTCACCATTCCTACTTCGGCTGTTAGTCGCCTACCATTGATTGGGACTTGAAAGCATTTTTATTTGAGAGAAAGGTAGAGAACGAATTGGCGAAGAAGGAAGTCGGAGACTAGCAGAAACTTCTTCAGTGTGTGCTCTCGCATTTTTAGCTATTAATAATACACATGTAGTCTCCTCTTTATCTTAGTGTTGGTTTAGAGGCGGGGAAGCAACCTTGGCAGCCGATCTCGTCGGCCCTGGGTGTCAGTTGAAAGGTGACATACATTAAAAAGTGGGGCTTGGCGGATGAATGCTGGTTAGCGCTGTACGAGAAAATGTAACAAACGGAGAGGGCAAAAGTAGCAATCGAGGACGACGAAAAAGAAGGCAACGGAAAGAAGTAACGAAAATAAGTAGGGAGGCCATATTGCGCTCTAACAAGAGACGAGTTTGGAAGGTGGCTTTTATGTATGATACCAACATCAAACAGGCCTGACTGGTACTATCATTTGCCGCTGCAAGTTTCCTTATTACCACCATCACAGAATGAATCCACTGCTCCTGAAGCGGACGACCAACCCCGGCAATCTTTTGTTTCTTGTTTGATCCGCAGTCCTTCGGTTGTTCTGAGAACGGCCCTCTGACCATCCATGTGGACGTTAAGCCACCATTGTTGATTTATTGTATATGGTCGTTGCCATCTGTGACACAACCATGTCTATTGAAGAAAGCACTATATGTACGAGAAAATCACCGGAGTGAGAGATAATGCTGAAGGAAAAACGGGAAAGATTGGCCTTTTTTCTTATCGTATTTTGTTTTAGACATTCTTTGTCAGACTATTGGTAGAAATCTATATTCGTTTAATGTCTACTAGTAGACTTAATCGAATTTAACCCTCTTTTCATGTCTCCACAAGTTTGTAACATTCGGTCCGTTCTTAAGGCGACGGACGCTTCGAATACACTAGAAACCTCAGCAGGAAACTAACCCTTCAATATGCGTTCTATAGATCCACACCTATGTAACAATTATATTGTTTGTTTTATGTCCTCACAATATTATTTGAAGGGTGTAGATTAGCAATCAAATATCCCTATGGAACACAAGAATGTGAAATTTACTCAGGATTCACTCATCGCATATTAATTTAAAAAACGACTTAAATATGTTATTAAGAATCTATATCTAGCCGTTTCTATTGTGTGTTACATTGGAAAGCAGTTTTTTTATTTTATTACGTGTGAAGATCAAGAACTCTGCGTTCTATCCATATCGCAAATTGACTTGCGGAATCAGTTTGACCTTAATAGTAGTCAGGAGGTAAATCAGCCTGAGTCATTTCTTAAATAACGAGTATCCTAAACAAAGGTCAGTCGGAAAGTCAGAACGCATACTCGTTTTCGAGCATTGTAGAATACAAGTTTAGTCGAACTTGCCGATAAACCACAAGTACTTTTTATTATAATAAAGAACTCAAAAACTCCGTATTTTTTAAAAGATATGTGAATCTTTGAGCTTATCTACGGCTACAGGAGGTTTCGGAAATATGGCGCATGTTAATCTTTGTTCGATAAGCATTGTATTAGAATAATAGAGCGCAGTTCTACTGCAAACCACAAATGGAACTTGTGATTTTCGTATTTATGCCATGGACATGGTTGTTCGGCAGGAACTCCGCCGTAAATGCCAGGACTTCGCGACGGCCCTATTGGACCACACGCGCACCTCGTACGAGCTAGAGGTGATGCTGAATTACGACCCGTCGGGGCCAGCATTCGAGCACGGAGACCGTATGCATTTGTCCCGACTCAAGATGGCCATAAAGTATAAGCAGAAAAAGGTAACTATTCTAGTAAACCCTGTTGTTCCTTCTAAACTTACACTATTATTAATATCCTCATATAATGGTGTAATACAATGATGCACAGTGAATGTTGGTTCACAGATCACTTTCGCCAGTGACACTTACCCCTCCTAGTTGATTACAGCACTTTGTTATGTTAACAACTTCCCTTTGAAGTGGTCTATGTTGTACTGCTCTATTCTTCACGTGTCGTAAGGTATCAACGACTTCGAATCCTTTAAAACCTAGAAACTCTCGACGGTAAATGCACGTATCATATTTTACCGTATTAACTAAAAAGTTTCTCATATATCGTCCTTTTATGACAAAGGCTGCGTTTTTGAGCGGAAGTAGAATGCAAACGATTGTGCTTGTTGTTCTTGAGCAGTAACACGTTCCACTGGCGTGGGACCCTGACTTGATACCCCTCTGAGTGTTCCGTCGGCAAAGCAAGTAAGACCGATAGCCAAGCGGCTTCTGTAAGGGACTTCTATACCCCTGTCGTCACCTTCGTTCTATTGTCACTTCGGTATATTATTATTATTACCCGAGACAACACCATTACTCCAGCGCCAGCAGCGCTGCGAGCGCTACAGCCGTTACATCGCAGCTGCGGCAGTTTCTTATAGTCCGTACATGTCTTGAAAGCGGTAACAAACACGTAGAAACAGAGCGTTAGAAAAAGATGTGGGAAAATGAGGTTCCCTTCTTGTGTATGTAGCACTGACCTTGATCTCGGACGTGTGGCGCCGACTAGTACTAGAGCTACTTCACAACAGCCAAATGCACGACGCTGATAAGGATGCGAGCTTGATGGCCTAAAATCATTGTGGGCATTTTACCTAAGTATATGAATGTTATTTACTATATGTTCGGTCGTTGAATCAAATATGATAGGTTTTATAAAAATCCTAGTTCTAATTCATAGAGACTTAAATGCATACGTTACGTCCCTGTTTAAAAAATATTTAACCATTAAATACTAGACAATTCATTCCAGCCGCTTTCTCTCGCGTGCTACCAATAGGAACTAACTAGGTAGACCGACATACCCACTTAGACATGTGGCTAAAATTTCATAGTGTTCCAGAATCACTTACCCTGCAGATCGTTCGATGCCAACGAGAATTGTATTCTTTCTAGCTGATATGGCTCGGGACCATTAGCTAAACGCCCGCACGTGAGAAGAATTAAATGCAAGGTACAGTTGCCGCTTTGCATCTGGGAAGTTGAAGTGGTAACTTGAGTAGCCATTCTCGGCTAACAGCCGGTGTCGTCCTTCGCGCAACATTTCGAACGACAGCTAGCAAAAGTGGCCTCAACACTACCCTCACCGCGGTTTAAGTTCGACTAATCCCTCCGGAAGGTATTACATGTTGAACCTTTCTAGTCGTGGCAGCAATGGCAGGTCGGCCCTTGTTTGCTTTTTTCCAAACCTGTCTCCTGTCCTGAGAAAAAATTATAGCCGATATTATCTTTATGGATTAACCATATGGGTTCGTGGCGCGTGTATAATCAGCTGCATAGTCTATAATATAGGAACGGAAATAGCACTTTGTGAATAGTCAGCAGAACTTGCAGCAGGCATGCATAACACGATGGCTTACGTTTTACGCATATCGACAAAGACCGAATTGATATTGGCCCTACCCGTTGCTTTACTAAACTGCCATAAAAGTTGTTGGGGTAGTATGAGGGCACAATGATTTTGGATATCTCGAGCTCGCCAGAGGCATAAGAAATCACCGAGGCATACAAGGTACAGTGTAGTTAGAGTATTAAATATAAACATATGTTTTGTTGAAAAAGACTTTAAGACGATTGTTTCTATTAACGCGTTAGGCTAGACACAAAACCCTCGAAAGTGAAAATATGTATTAAACAGCGGCAGGTATCTCTTTACGTCGTCCTGCATGGGGGTAGGTTTGATGCAGATCAACGTAAGTATCGGCTTCTCCCTGTAGGACCGTATATTAAGTATTGTTGCAATAATGTACAAAGATAGCAGCTGTTGGGGCAGCTTTCTCTTTTGCCTCATCAAATGTCGATAACACATCGGCAATGGAAGTTGCTGTAGCCGTTGGACAAACAGAGCTTCAACATGTCGCCAAGAAACAAATCGATAAATATAAAACACGTCAAAAAACGTTCTATATAAGAGACACCTGTTATCCTGAGGTAAGTACAATGGGAGCCAGCCCACGCGTTTTTTTCCTATCTATATTTCATAGGGTCCACTATTTCTGTCAAATTTCAGTTCTGTGCCCACCCGAATGTACAGCAGTTGTTAGCTTCGATCTGGTACGAGGGGCTTCCAGGATTCCGAAGGAAAAACATAGTTCTACAAATGATGGAAATTTTACGAATTGGTCTTTTATTCCCGATTTACTCCGTGGCCTATATTCTTGCGCCACGTTCCGAATTGGGACGAACGCTCCGGAAACCGTTTATCAAATTTATCTGCCATTCTGCCTCGTATATCACGTTCCTTTGTAAGTATCTTGCTTTCTCTTTTACTCACTATATATATATATATAACTCGTAAGGCATTTAGAAACAGAAAACCGATATGATGAAACAAAAGCATGAAATAAAGTGTGAACGTTGTGTGTTATGAGAACAGCCGGATTAATTATGATATAGCTATCTGTCTTCAGTTTATCACATCTTCTTCAAATCCTCTCATATATTCGTACATGGTATAGCTAATGCCCTAAAAGCCGAATGAAGACTTTTAGAAGCAGCGCCCAATAATACCACAGATATTCTATCTACGATAGAATCGTTACAAATGCAATATGGTTGATTGACAAAATCCCAGTATTGCTTTGTAAGGTTACAGTTTGTGATTGAGTTTCCTATCGAATCTTGAAAATAATCTATCTTTAGGCCCCTGATAAAAACAGAGTTTAGTCTTTTGGATTAAATCGTGTCCCTGATAACTAAGAGATTGCCACATGGCGGTATTTGAGCAGGAAAGTAAAATGTGTATTTGCTGTTTTTATAAATTGATTGAAACTAATTAGTAGTTTTTACATGCTGGAGACGACGACAATTTACCCATAGCCATTTACAGTTATGTCGCATCATGTCAAAACTGATCTTCTAAGGACACTAAATACATACGTAATGAAAGTCTGCTCATTATTGGGGTTCCCTTATTTCTATGCACACATAATATATTATGTTTATGGGACTTGGTCTGGTAGGGGTGCAGCACTCGGCAGTCGAGTAGGGTCTAGTCAACGCCGAAATTTCCTGAGATTATCAGCAAGGAAATTGCATTCGTTGGTGCTCTCGTTGGACTGCTACGTAATAATCGTGGCGTCGGAAGGTGCAAATGTATCTAAATGCGATAGATAAGCGACGCAGGCTTCTGCCGATAGGACGGTCTTACATAGGGAAGCCTTACAGAGTTCAATCAAGTTAATCCGTTAAAAGCGTTGGCACAGGCATTCGAAAAGAATATAATTACTTATAGTTTATGACATGTGTTCTGTAATACAAAGCAAACTACAAGTTATTATACACCAAAGGCGACGCAAAGTACTAAAAAGACAAGAACCAGGATCGTAACGTAAAGCACATTTTGGTTTACTTATTTTTATGCAATATGCTCCGGTTATGGCCAGTAGCCTTTCACGTATAGCTAGCCCAGCCCTATGCTGCCTGCTATAATATAACATGGCTTTTGCATGGCTGGCTAAAAGCTAGATTTGCCCTGTCATGCGTCCTGACACCCTGTCAGCTCCGATTTGCGTCCACCATCAATCTGGTTCGTCGATTTTTTTTTATCTATGCTGTGGCTCTATCCAGGCTGTGCCATAATTATTATATAGCACGGAACAGTGCGGGGAGTGGGTCCGCCAGGCAACAATTCATAGAACAATAATTATTAAAAACAGGACTGCAGGAAGGACTTCAGCCATTATTAAGGCGTATCGAAATGCTGTTATAATAGATTCAATATAGATATCAACTGTATAGGATTTATCTCTCTCTTGTTGCACATATCTCAAATGCGTGCTTGCTATATTGGACAGTAAAAGCGTTATCGGTTACGTCAAAATGTGTACCCCCTTCCGTGCAGAGTTCAACTGCTGAGACTTTATTACTAACTGACACAGAGCGCATACCTACGCCACGCGGCGCTATTATATAATTTTGGTATCTGTTATTGTTTTTCTTAGTTTTGCTGATCCTTGCATCACAGCGAATTGAGACAGTGATGATAGAATGGTTTGGCACCGAAGAAATGAAGAAGGAAATGCGCGACGATATCACAACAAAACGGGGCGCTCCGCCCTCTATCGTTGAATGGATTATTCTTGCCTGGGTGTCAGGTACGGGTGCATGCGACATGTTATTAGCTCTGGTACACGTGAAATCAGTGATGTTTAAAAATCATGTCTGAGTATGCGCAAACTCATAGAAAGAATGAAATTCTGACGTTAGAAACTAACATGTAGTTCTATGGCAGGGCCTTTCAAGGAACTGCTTAGCGAATTTGCAATGGCAGCCAGCTTAGCCTTTGTTGTACAAAATGGAGGCGTTCATGTGTAGATCTTATCTTTTGGCCTAATGCATTCATTGAATACAATGGCTTCTTGACTGAAAGCTTTCCAGCTCGGTCATACGAGTTGTTTCGCAAAGGGTTTTTAAGAGTTTACAAGATTTCCGCTAGATAACAAAGCCCTAATTCGAACCAGTATGTTGAAATGAGTTGTGAACAACATTGTGTTAATTATACTATAGTAGTGATATTTGGTAACGTGTATTTATGTGCGCACTTATGTGACTCATGTGGTGTGGTCGTTACTGCTTAGGATTAATATGGAGCGAAATGAAGCAATTATGGGACCTCGGATTGATGGGGTACGTGAGCGATATGTGGAATATCATCGACTTCATCACCAACTCGCTTTACGTCGCCACTGTAGCACTGCGTCTCATCGCATATTTACAGGTCGGAAAAGTAATATGAAAGGCAATAAGCGTGAATTGAGGGCGCTATCAAATAGGCTCCGAAAGCGGTAATTTTTGTTTAGGCCACTCAGAGGACTGTGTATGCCAAACCAAGCTTTTTTCAACCTTTTTTTCGTGGAGACCAGTGGATACGCAGTAAAACAACGAGCTCTTAAATTTGTGAATATGTCGTATATGGAATAACCTTCTATTACAGGTGCAAAAGGAAATCGCGCAAAACACGGGAACGGCGTACCTGCCGCGCGAAAACTGGGACGCCTGGGACCCGATCCTGATCGCCGAGGGTTTGTTCGCGACAGCCAACATCTTCAGTTCTCTACGGCTAGTCTATATCTTCTCTGTGAACCCTCATTTGGGGCCCTTACAAATCTCTCTCGGTCGCATGGTCATTGACATTGTAAAATTTTTCTTCGTCTACACTCTCGTTCTATTTGCCTTCGCCTGCGGGATGAATCAACTTCTTTGGTGAGAAAATACCTCGATATTAGCTTGCGTATATTCTATACTAATTACATTCGTTAGCAGGTTCTATCAACATCCCTATAATTGCACATGCAGTTATTTAAATTGATTCATGTACAGTTGTCCGTCACCAACCACCATTTCGAACATGCTCCTTTAACGTGCCCGCCATCTAAATCAAGAAAACGAACACTCCGTCAACAAGAAGGAGTACACAATACCGCCAAAAGCACTACTATTAGAAATGAACGTACATCCAAGCCTGATTTCAGTTATCTTCTAGGGTCGTGCATAGCATTTGATTAGCATGCACTAGCGTGCTGGAGATGTGCTAGGATAAGTGTGGATTAGCGGCTTCCCTTAAAACCCCTCCAGCGTCCAATCTATAAACCAAAGGAAAACTTCAACAGTCGTCTTATTTACTAATCACTAGCCTAAATGCTTTCGCAGCGCCTGACAGCGGCTGTTTTCTTTATGTTTGCGTAACACTGAGACAGATATAACAGCTCGAAGCAGCAGAAGCCGGCGCGCCTCTGAGACGCAATATCGGATTTCGTGACCATTGTTATTTAGCCGGTTGGCGATTTTCATGTGTTTATAAGCTGCATTGCCCTAATCGCGCGATGCTAGTCTAGCCGCGTTTGCTATGCTGTCCATGTAGATAATATCCAAGCACGGAATCTGCAGCGGGAGAGAATGGTCGATATCAGTCGGCTCCTTTGCATCGGAACGATAATTAAAGTTGTGGTACGCTGTGGTACGCTGTGGCCCAAATTCGAACCCGGCCGTAGACGCACGTACGCACGGTTCGTTTCGTGGTAGCTGCCGGCGTAGCCATCAATCTGATGGCGGTAAAACTCGAAATAAAAACCGAGATATATACGATAGTCTCTATGTAGAAAATTGCACGCGTCATTTTCGGGCATGCATTGAAGCTCAGTTGAGATATATTCGCCCATTTGGTCAGATATAATCCGTTTTACGCTTAGTCGGGTTGCCATAGACTACGACGCATGGATTCATTTACATTAGCAGACGTAATTAAATAGGGTATTATGTTAGGTGAACGCGTTTCGTTCGAGCGTAAATAAAGATAAAAGTGAAAATAATTGACTGCAGAATAACACCAGATGTTTAAATTGACTTATTTTCATGTTTAATTGTTGACTTTATTTCTTTAGTTATTTATGTTATTGTTTCGAAATAGATGTGCAAATATGAATTGTTTAGTTTAATTCAAATTTAAATAGACACTTAACAAATGTCGATAGATATTAAGCTGCCGTGTGGAAGGAAAGTTTCGCCAACCGTGATGAAGGTTCGACATCTAGTTTAAAGGAAAAATTCTCATCTATCATATTTAATTCTAGTAATTAATGGCGTTCATTTTTAGACAAATAGGTATATATTAGGAGGGACTTTCATGTAAGCTCAGACAGACCTCCGGCGTTTATTAGCTAATTAAGAGAAAGAATTCATTTTTGACTCCGCTCATCATTAGCGTTTCCTTCATTTTTCGATGTCATAACTAATAGCCATTGCCTTATGATGTGCAAAAATGAATTTTTACATCTACTGTAACTCCTGTCGCCGGACATTGTTAGTGACCAATTAGCGCTTTGAAGAATAAGATGTCCTGTTCGTCTCTGTCAAGGTGTCGATTGATGAAATACAGCGCACCGAATTTGAAACACAAGATCTGCTAAGCCAAAGGGCCAGAATCAAGATTCTTTTACGGTTTAGCTATCTATTTCAGTATAACTCTGAGTTCTTTCACTAAGATTCACAAAGCAAGGCGACTCTACAGAAGGATTACTTCAGCGATCTTTTTCTCGATGTGCCTGTTTCTCGACGGAAATAGATACGAGAAGCTAAGAGATTGCTTTTTATAATCTTCTAGCGGATCTGAATCCATATAGAATTGTTGTCGTTATAATTAGCACAGCGGTTTACCTGTTGGAACCTGTTGACCATCATATTGACATATCTTAACCTTATCGCAGAAACTTTTTGTATTTGAGGCGAGATAAACGCATTGAACTTATGCTATCTATTAACTAGCTCCGCGTCAGCTTCATAAATACTTTAACCTAAAATACGTTCGTCTACATAACGAAGGTGATGCAAATCATTAGGCTACTCTAAGATCTACATATCTAAATTTTTGAGACCTGTCTTCTAATGTCAGCTGGAATTTTTGGGTTTTTCGGAAAAAAATTAATGTGATTATATAAAGTACCGCGAGAAGATGACATAAATTATTATAAATGGAGCAACACCACTTGTTAATTAGGAATGTATAGAAGCTGGGAATACTATGGGGTTAAGCTGGGGCTGCTTAACCCGCTGAAATTTCAGTATAGGCTGACCTACGTGTGAAATCACTTGTCCGTGTTGTCGCTCACAAACCTAATCTGCAGCTGTTGTAAAATTCCCTCATGCTTTTAGCGCAATTTGATTCATCCGAAGGATGACGGCTGGCGGATTCCCAAATGTAAAATGGACGACATGTGAAGCCTACGCTTTTTTTTGTACGCACTTACATTAGATTTTTATTAGAATAATTGTTTCAGTGTCCTAATAGATCGTTAGACATTTTTTTTATGAACTGCGAACTAATTTTAAAAATTCCCTTGATGTATTTTAGCGGGAATATGCATAAAGTCATCTTCGAATTCACCCATTCTGATCACGATAGTTTTCCATCTTCAATAGTTTATGGCAGAGGAAACCATGCAGCCTAGGACGTAAAGAAATATACGTGGGTCTAACTAGCTCGCCGAGAAACCCATGAGTACGCGACGTGAAAGATAGAGATTGGCTGAGCGTAAAATATGCATAGCCTGTATCGTTATACATAGACTTCGTCAGAAAATGTTTGGTTGATTTAACAAAATCACTGACTAGTGCGATACAAGTTCTGTTTTATTGTTAACCGTGTGTCAGCCGAAAGCAGTGAAGGACGGACGTGCAAGAGCCTTCAGTAGGAATAGTGAAAAGCCTGCGACATGATGGCAGTAGCTAGTGTTCTACAAGATTGGCTTACTGATCCTATATATGCTGACAGGCATATACCGAAAAACGCTAATACTCCTAGCAGGGTAAGGCGGACCCAAATATCTAACCAGCTCCATCGTCGGAGTCAATTTCCCACCGTGATATTTATTATTCAATTAAATCATCTCAAATGACTTTTCGTCAGATTCAGACGCCGCCATAGTGGCTTGTGCTCTACACACACGCTTGAGACAGTCAGCCGCGGGTGCCAACAAAACATTTCAACTCTAAAAGCCACCTAAGTCGAGATTTCGATTTCTATTAACAAAATCTTCTCGATAATAATATCAACTCTGGGATTAGTTCTATAATCAATGAGATCAATAATATGAAGAAGTTCAAATGATTGATAAGGTCCAAAATCAGCAATTTGGGTCAAGATGATCAGAAATTAAATTATTGCAATATATATATGGGTATAAAAATAGGTCCCAACCATATGCAGTAACTTGATTATGACGTTCGCTCTATGTTCGGTTAGGGTGATTCCTCTTCTACCAAGGGCTAAGAAATTTCTAATACGGCTCTTAAATTATTCGTCTGCTAGTATATTTTGCTTGTATTTATGTGTATAAAATAACAATTCAAATATGTGTACAGTTTGTTAAATTTGCCCGCTATGTGAATTAACCTAGCCATCTACCTTCATTACTTCGCCTATCGCTTATACCTAAGCTATTCTCCACTGGCTCTCGTTATAGCAGAAACGCTATAACTTTCTAGACTAGGTCAATCAAAACGAATGAGTTCCTATAGTGCTCCAGTGATCCATAAACGTAGCACTATAAACCCCTGACAAATGCTGCCAAAGACGTACACGCTTTTTTCCTCTAAAAAAAAGAGAGTAAAATTTTGTTATAAGAAAAACGTGCCCAAATATAATATCTGTTTCTAATTTTATTCCGTTTTGGCGGCTATTTATACGCGGCTTGTTAAAGCGGATTTTATAACATAACTATCTAATGAAGTTAGGTAGCGCCCCGGGCAGTATATAACAAGTTCCGTTTTTTTTTCCGTTCATTCCTTATCCTTGCAAATAATTTAACTAACTAGAGCATTGACTATTTCGGTTTTAACGAGAGTAATTTTTCGTGGAATATACAGCATCTTTGATTTTATTTTAAGATTTCCATTATTCGTTCTGCTGTTATGATTTATATCATGAATAGTGGGCGCATCTCTGGAACCGGTCCTTAAGATGAAACAACCATGGGACGAGATTTATGATGTTCCGATATTTCATATTATAAAAAAATCAATATTTCAAAATGACAATTGATGTTTCGAAGGTAAATTTGGAAAAAAATATTTACCATTTAGAAGAAAATATACGTGCATCCACATTTTTCCAGTTGTTTTCACCAGCGTCACTTTCGTATCGGGAAAATTCATGGGGGACAATCATTTTATTACGGGATATTACCGAACTAATCGGGCTTAATGCTTCCGCTATGTTGTCTCGCTAGTGAAAATAATTAAACCCCCGTAGCTGTAGTTAATCTACAGAAACTTTAGTACGGTGTTGCAACAATGCTTAAGAACTGGGCATTTTTTATTATACATTGCACAACGCGTCGAAGAAGACATGAGTTTTTTTTCCCTGTCTGAACAAATAATCATACAGTCATTTTAACATCAATATTTGCTGAGAAAATACAAGGGCAATGAGAGCCGTTCTTGCACGCTACAAAGCTTATTTAATCGTGTTTTTTTTTTTCGCTGACGGCAGCGCAAGAATACAGTGCTTTTCTAGAATGTAAAGATATAGATCGGTCATAGAAAGGGTACAGATGGTTACATCACGCAGTGCACATATCGAAACTGTCTCTCCATGCAGACGCACACGCTAAACCCAAGTAGGCATGCACACTCACCCACACTTACGTGTACACACATCCCGCGCAGATACACCATGCAGACAGGCATATAAACATATGAAATAAGCAAACAGAGCCGCGCTCAAGGTCTGCTCTTTCCCGACCGTTAACTACCGTTGAGTGTTCAACAAGACGCAACGACACTGACTGCGCACGCTAATGTGGTTACGTTGGTCGACTCTCTTGATTACGTATCCATAAATGCTGCCCGCCTTTCTCTCTGCTCGCTAGTAAACGTGGTTAATTGCCTTGGGACGCTATTTTTTTTTGTTTCTTTGCTGTCTAACCGACCAGTTTAGGTGCTGACTTAATTCGTGGGACTCTTTACCTTCTGCTTGTTATCGCAGGTACTATGCTGATAACGAACGTCAGCTGTGCCAGACCCTTTCGGCTGGTAACGCGAGCCAACCCGTAGGCGGGAGGAGCGAATACGCTGTGTGCTTCACCTGGAGGCGCTTCTCCAAGTGAGTACCAGTAGCAATAACAACAGTTAAAGTTCCAGCAACTCTAATACGCTCAGTCCGTCTGCTTTCGGGAAGTTACCAAGGGTATGACAATACCACGAAGCAAACAGCAGCGAAAACCTACAAACCTCTTACGTAGTCCGATTGGCTACAAGTATGCGCAGCGATTGTCCTGAAGACGGGCTGGTTTGTGATAAAAAAAAGTACTTGGTACATATACATGGCAAGGGCAGGGCGTGGCTGGTGGTACAGCTCTTTCATCAGGACATGAGAGCGCTGCAAAAACGTACAGCGGCGGAGCGAGGTCGATCGCCTGACTCGATTTGGGGTCATAGTGAAAGGGGAAAGGAAATAGAGAGATCTACTTACTTCAATGGTCAGTCGAAATTTCCGCCCTCGAAACTGAGTCCATTGGTTATGAAAGTAATAGAAGAGAAAAAAAAAAGCCTGCAATTATTATTATTCTAGCGTATCTGTATCATGGTACATTTATTCGTAAGTAATATATAGCAAGGGTTTTCCAACAGACCTACATATCTGTGGCGAAAACAATCCTTAAAGTATCACTATTCGCATATTCATCCTGCGATTCCCGTGAGTCTTTAAAACGCCTGTCTTTTTAATGTAATCACACATTTTGTGGAGTACTTCTCCCGAATTTGTTGTCTGTTGAAGCAAATTAAGGGCTGACGAACACCCAGAGACGAGGCCAGTACCTCAAGTTGAAAATGAGGAACTATTTTATAGTCACAGAAGCAGTTACTTTTACAAAGAGCCCTGTTGTAAATACCGATCCTTGTTGATGTCATCGAATATGAACACACAAATACACAGCATATACGATTTTAATGTTCTCTGTGTTTTTTTTTTTAATTTTTCGCAATAATAACAAATTACCTGGTGGTGTATGCCCGTAGTTCTTGTCGGCGTAGATATTATCGCTCCATGTGCCACGACCATCTTTTTCTCTTTTCCAAAAATATATCGACTGCAGAGTCAATGTCCACGAAAAGATTTTCTATATTTGTCTATCTGATGCGATTAGCTAAGTAGTAACTGGTCTCTCTAGTTAACGCGTGCACCTAATACTGACCGGCTGTTTAACCGACTGACGTTAGCAGACGTCTTCGACCAAGTTGAAAGGTAGGTTTACATAGACTTCCCGGGAACTGTAACCAGCAAACTAATGCCAACTAGCGTCTAACTAGGCAGCTTTTCTGAAATGTTTTGATTTCACCGTGATCTATTGGCGGTGTGGCACTGACAAGAGTATTGTTCTTCTTGTGTTGTCCTTCTTCCAGCCTTTTCGAATCATCCCAGACGCTATTCTGGGCAAGCTTTGGTCTGATCGACCTAAATAATTTCGAACTTGTGGGCATCCAGAGTTATACGCGCTTTTGGGGTCTACTAATGTTTGGTTGCTACTGCGTTATCAACGTAGTTGTGCTGCTCAATCTGCTTATCGCTATGATGAACCACTCGTATCAGATGATTTCCGTAAGTATTTTCTTCATTCGTACGTTATATACTATAATACGATTGTTGTAACTATTGTTGCAAAGTATATATCAATTGGTATTACGCTGAGTTGGGCTTTGTACTTGGATCAGAACCTTAGTTGTAAAAAATCGGCTAGATTATTGCAGCAAGCTTCTTGGCCCATTGCAGATTGTTAGTCTGATTAAATTATCCAGATGCGATTGCACGCAACTTTGTTTTTTTCCGAATCGCACGCAGCTCTCCTCAGAATGAAATTGCTTAAGAATTTTCAAATAAACTTGGACTTCTATCGTAATTAAGACTATTTACTCACCAATTAGGGATCTGATATGGAAGCTCGCTTAATGTTGAATGTTTCGGATATATTTTTACCCTGATATACAATAAGACGGAACGTTACAAGACGTACACAAAGTTCGCTTCCCACCGAACATTGTCTCGTTGCCAAACAGCACACCTTAAGCTGATAACTTACAAGTAACGTAAATCGACATGATAAAAGAAAGTACGTATCTATATAAAAAAAAAACTTATTAATGAACAGCATATGCAGGGCCTCTTCTCTTTACACCAAATATCGTTGGCAACCGGTAAGTGTCATTGTGTCATCAATAAGCTGTTGTGTCCAGTATAATATATGGAGCTCAACAGAAAATATGGAACCGTGTTGCCTAAAGGAGACGTTAAAGATATTTATGCACATTGTGCAGTTCTTATGCGGCCGTCTACGCATCCTAAGCCTTTCAACATAGCAAAAACCGTCTTTCATGCACTTCTGCACAGTATATCATGCCGAATATGATTCCGTCGCTGTAGACCATCACAGAGACGAAATAACTGCCACCAAACCTCTAAATAGAATTCTAACTGGCTCTGTTTGTCTAGACTCTATCAATCAAAGTGACTATGCAAATGAATAATCCAATCCAAAGCTAAAGAACAATATTTTTGGCCGCTCTTACCCACTGATTTGTGACATAAGTAAAAGGGCCGTCGCGATATTAGGTTCGTCTTCGTCTGTCTCGTTCATTCACCCGATCAGACTACCATTTCACAGGAACACGCGGACGTCGAGTGGAAATTTGCGCGTTGCAAGCTGTGGATGAGCTATTTTGAAGATGGCGGTACTGTGCCGCCCCCATTCAATATCATACCGACGCCTAAAAGTATTGGCTATCTGTGTTCATGGTTCTGGCGAAAATTCTGTGGCCACTCAAGGAGCGCCAAGAAGGAGCACCTTAAGACGATACGGCGGAAGGCTCGCCAGGCGAGCGAGCGCGATCTCAAATATCAGAGCATCATGAGGAATCTCGTAAGACGGTAGGCACACATGTTAGTTTTTGACAACGTTTTTTTTTTTAGGAGCTATTATGCCAGCTGTTTCGGTGCGTGCGAGTCAACTGGTCAATAGAGCATGCATGCTCTTAAGCAGAAGGTAAATTGTTATTTCTGTTACATTTTATTTCTTAACTCCCTATAGAATCCCTATTTCAAGAATCGAGACGGTCACCCAACTTTAGTAAATAAACTATATCAATCGAACGACCCTGTGAAAATTTGATACACTAGAAAATGTCGATTTTATTATATAAAACTTATTCAGGAATAGTTTAAGTTAGAAATCTATGTGTTCACATCGTATATATTTTTACTGTATATTAATATTGGTAAACCGGACCACACGTTATTTATTGTTATTTAGTTTATGACGGTACCAATAAATACGGTTTTTCTTCCGCCAACTTTCAATTAGGGGTGTCTCACAGTTTCCGGTTAGGACACGCCTGATAGTATTCCATAAGTGCTCGCTTCGTAACGAAGCATCCACCATATGTGTTTCTCTAGCTGGTATTGATATCACCTTTCCTCTTCTTACAGAAGTCATCTGCTTGTGCCCGTCATTTTCACTCTCAGGTTCATATCCTTCGTGTCGTTCGTAGTTGCGTCTTTAGGAAGCTAATACATTTAACGAGTAGCCTTTAGTTGAGCCTCAAGTGGAGTAGGCAAGGAGAACTTTGTGGCATTTTCGTGCCATCAGTAACTGCACATGGCCACTCTGCTTTATCCGATAAGTTTACATTGTTCATTTGACATCTCTCACTGACTTATTATAATATTGTACTATGACAATAGGATGTCTAAAGTTGTTCAAAGGCCAAAAATCGGATCAATCTTTAGGTCATATAAGGTAGAACAATGATATTTTTGATAAATACGTTTCTTTGATACTCATATATTGAAACCAACTCTTTGGAAACAGCCATATACGTGTTGTTCATGGTATAATGTGTAGAGTCGTTATCAACGAAAGGACGCGACACGTATCAATGAAACTCTTTAGGGGCCCAAAAAAGTCTCTGGCGGTACTAACCGGTCCTTTTTAGGCAACATTCCGTAATAATAAGTTCTCCTTATCACATATTGAGCTCGTTTTTACATCTAAAGCCTTGAGGTGTAATTACCTCCTCAGACTCCACCTGAATTTTTATTCTAAAAATAATTACACCAATAACGGATTGTTGCTTCGGCGACGGTCTGCTTGCCCAGTGCTTTCGCCATTCATCTCTCTAACGCTTTTACCGTCCATTTTCAAACGGTGTCTTTGCATTTAAACTCATTACTTTATAATGACGTCCAATGCGACCATACCATAGAGGTACCCAGGGATTATTATGCCTCCTCGCGATAATACCTTTTTTATAGATCGCAGAAATAAGAAGGTAATATATATTCGAATTTGAACGTTAACAAATATTGATTCTATATTGAAAATTCGAAATTTGTAAAATTTGGAAAAGGTAAAGAATGTCATGATCATTTTTCTTGTCAGGCCGCTCCGAATTGCTGGTGTTGGGTGTTCGGCCGCTAGGTTTAAGGTCACGTAATGATCCAGTTGTGAATCCATACATGACTTCGTTTCATACCGGGAACTAATTGTCTGATGGGGCGCGTTACTTAGTTGTTGTTCTATTGTTCATATTGAGTCCTCTAGCCTGTCAGGTTCTTGAAGCAGCACTAAAGGGCGATATCGAAACCTGTTGTAGAATCGACGCGAAGCTTTAAAAAATCATAACGACTTCATATAAGTACTTAGCAAATGTTATCTGCTAACGCTGCCTAAATTAGAATTTGTATACATTTTTCGAACCTTAAATAGCTTTAGACATGCCAATGCATACAATGACAGAGTATTTTTTTCGCTAAATCTTCTTTTTTGTTCTTCTTCACGCATATCCCTAAGGCGGTTATAGGATATTCTATCATCTTTTTTTAACTGTCAACCAAGATGTCTCATTCTGTACGTTCGTTTCATGGCCCGAAACGGACTTGAGTGAGCAAGTAGTACTGCAAGTGTTATTGAGAGCATTATAAAGGACTGAAGAGAGGAATACGGAAATCCTTGGACCATTGGGAATATGTCGACAGCGGAGCGCAGCTAAAGTTATGAGCACCAGAGGTCGTTTAAATGCTGGGAGATGAATAACAAGGGAAATGGTAACCGCAACGACACATACCTTTGGACTGCTTTGCCAAAGCAAGCAACGAATGGGTGGTAAACGGGATGTGCTATCCTGGCCGGGAGAAAATGTCAAGCCTGTGTGTTAACGAAGCTCTAAACAACGAGCTCACATGACACTTCGGATAACGCGTTGCACGTTTCGCTAAAAACAATTCGTTGAATAAGGAAATGATGATGAAGTCAATAAATTTCTTCGAGCACATCGAGCGTCACGATCGTGCCCCATGCTGTTTCACTTCTAGAAAGCTAAATACCTTTGGTAGCTTTTGATAGTATTAAACATTTGATCATGCGATGATACACCGCTGTTACGACAGATGTTTGTAAGTAGGGTGATGTTTGGCGGCTTGTTTTCGTTCGTCATATAGCTCGATAGAACCTTTGATCGGGGCAATTAACGCGGGAATTTGGAAGATGACGGGTCGGACTCGCTTACGCCTGCACTAGGCATAAGCAAACAGTGTACAAGCCGCCGGACAGTTAACTGATTGCTTTAATTGCGGTTTTGTTAAAATTGTTTTGATTATACGATATATTGGTGTCATTACAGATACGTTACAAGCGAACAGCGGCGTGCGGACAACCAAGGGGTGACCGAAGATGACGTAAACGAAATCAAACAAGAAATTTCCTCGTTTAGATATGAGCTCCTTGAAGTGCTCAAGACCAGCGGGTTCAATACTTCGATGGCGTCAGGTGAATACACTTCTTCTATACACCTTTCTAATATACTGTGTATGGTAATTGTACCATCTCGTGGATGAGATGCTGTGTAAATGGGGACGATATGGTGATCCGGTAACTACGGCGGCCGTGATTGCTCATGTTTTTTCGTATTGAGCCCTCCGGCACTGTTTACACCATAGTGTTGCTTGCCTTTTTTTTGTTAGGCTTTCGTGGGAACTCTTTTGAGTCAAAACATATGCCCATAAACCCGGTCAGTGGTTGTTGTGCAACCATCGTGTAAGAGGTCTCCATGTTTATATGTATGTTTATGTATAGAAAAATATGCACACTAGCGCTTATATTTCATGTATTGTTTTGGTTATTGCTGTCATTGCTATTGTTCTGTCTCCATCTTTTCCAGGATCAGTAGGCGGTTTAGGAGGCGGTAAGAAAGGACGACAACGGGAACGCCGACTGATGAAGGGATTCAATATCGGCCTAATCGACAGTTCTGTTCCAAGTCTCCCAGAGATCAATGTCGAAGAGATGAACGTCACGTCACGGAAGCCACCTGGCTCTCGGTTGGCCCGCCTCGCGAGACTCGCAAGCAAGAAGAGCAAACTGCGCCGTAGTCGCTGGGGGCATCTGGTGGAGGCCACTCGCAATGCGCGGGCGGCTTTTTCACGGAGCCGCTCCGAGGACTCGGTTAGCAGCCAAAACAGCTACGAGCCCTCGCGTTCCCACCACCGTACTCATTCCCACCACCAGTCTCAGCACCATACTCATTCGCATGAACATCATCAGCATCAACGGCAGCCGAACGAACCGCATCGACTCGACAATCTGTCATCGGGATCGTCCGACAATGACCTACATCACGTAAGTTCGTCGCGCTCGGAAACTGCGCTCTCGATGAGGAATCGCTTTTCTAAGAAGCTCAGGAACTTCAGCCGGTCGAAGCTTAAGCTTGCCTTTTCGGCCGAAGGTCACCGTAAGGCGATCGCCGAGAAGAAGTCCGCGTCGAGGACACTGAGCGCGCCACCCACGTCTTTGCGTCAATCGCAGCTCTCGTTAGCGCCTTCGAAACGTCATGGCGAGCGTGGTTACAACAACACGACGAACTTCAATGCATCAACGGGTGGAGCAGCAGGAACGAGTGAAGGCAATAGAAGAGGGGAAGCAGCAGAAGCAATCGGTGCTGGACAGGCAGACGGAGCCTCTGATTTGATGCGCACAGGTGAGAATAATTGTTGCAAAGATAACAACAACGAACAACAGCAACAACGTGGGGGTGTTGCTGAGTGCGTACTCCAGCTGCAGCGGCAGGACAGCGTCGACATGTCAGCCGGCCACTCGCATTCGCACTCGTGTAACGCCCTTATTATCGGGCTAATGGCTTCGCATAACTTGCCTACGCCGGGCTTGTCGCCGATCCCGAGCTGCGCCAGTTCGAAAGTACCCTCGCCGAGGAATTCTATAAATGACAGTACTTTCGAGCCGGACGATGACAGATCTATATCGTTACAAATCGACAGAATGCCGGAAGTGGTTATCGTCGAGGCGTCTTCCGACGAGAACCAGCTTCCGCTCCAGTCGCAGTCACAAGCACCATCCCCAGCGTTGACAATGTCAACAGCAATGACAACGCCACTGCCGCAGGCCACTTCAAGGCGGCAGTATCTAGCTAGCAGCCAGACTACCGGAGGTTCGGTAGCGTCGGTAGCAGCGATAGCTGCTGCCGCTGGAGCGGTAGCAATCCGTATGTCCGGATCGGCGGGTTCGAGCCCTTATCCAACTCCGGGATCTCCTGTAGCCAGTGTATCTTCTGCTGAATCATTGGACTCACTTCGTCACCATCAGCGGTCGCCCACCTCGCCTGGTGCTACGTCCGGCGTTTGCACGAGTCCCCGCTCGTCTGAAACAGGTGGAAATCGAGTAACGCCCGGATCTGCTGGGTCTGGAACACCCCACCAACTAGCGCCGCCAGCATCCCCTTCCGGCCGCTCACACGACGCAGGTGCTAATGGACTACCACTATTAGTTCGAATGTATGGCATCGAGCCCGCCAATAAACCCATGAATGTTGAATGGATCTAGACAAACACCCTGTCAGCTGTGAACCGGCCGCAGCATTGATCCTTTCATCGACAATTTACATGCACTGATGCTATTACGTACCACTGAAAGGTCACTGTAATGTGCGCTTCATTTATAACCAAGCACGATGCATGTTATAGCATTGCCGTTGTTTCTAAAATATATATTACTACAGTATTATCTATTACGATCTAATGCAAGCATCAAAAATGAATTTCTTTTGCGCAACCTTCCCGTTGTAGTTGCTCCATCGGCGCATCTAGCTTCGAAGGGTTAGCCAACAACTTCATGAAGACTAGGCGAACTAATTGTGTCTTGAGGGGATGCCTTTTCCTTTGCCACATACAAACGACCAGATAAATACAGATACGGATACGCGAAGGAGGCAATCAATAAAAGCGTCTCGACACTCGCAGCAAAGCAGTAGCGTGTCAAGCATAGCGAGCAGAACCCCCGCAGCTAGAATAGAGAGACCAACAAGAAGACAGAACGACTAACTAGCGAAGAACGTACCTATAATGCGTTGAAGTAGTAAGGACGTTCGTTCAATGAACGCAAGCTGCCTTCCATTGCTGCTATTCCTTCCAATTAGATCGTTCACAAGCCAAACAAGTAATCTGCTTGCTCCGGCTAGATGAAAGTTCAAGCCAAATAAATGAATAACTATGTCGACATCGTCATCGGGGCACCGTAGAACGTGCGTGACAGGATGCCGTGTGCATCAGTTTTCTAAACAGTAATCAGACGTCAGTGATCAGACGTAGCGCCTATTGACGCAGACCGCGGCATCATCGACGCCGTTTGCGCTGGTAATCACAATTATACGGCGCATACGCATAGTACGATACTTCGTGCATTTCGTCTCGCTGTGTTCTGACTATACAAGTTCATTATTCAGACCATTAAGTGGACTGTGGAGCGACCATCCACTCAGCGGTCTGAACTGATAATATAATAGAAGATATTGGCTATAGCGCTATCTTTACGTTTGACGGCCTAACCCCTCTTCGCCTAGGAAACAGGCCACAGTTATTCGACGTATCAAAACAGGCACTAGGGTTTGAAGATCATTTGTTGTTAACCAGTTTTCATTTCGCAAGCTAACAACAGGAGGAAAGCCGTATATATTTGCCTAACGTTTCGACCACTATATTTTAGTAACGACGACAACGATAACGCTTATGCAGTTAGTCGTAATTTTGCTTTGCTGAGTTGTCAACAATTTTTTGTTGCTAGCCAATACGTCGGAGTACGTAAATGCTCGTCATTGTACAAAGTAGACGCCTTCGAACAACATAGAACTAAGGAAGATACAAACCAAGTCGAAACGAAAAAGAAGATAGATGTGGCAAGATGAAGGACGAAGCCAGGAAAACCCAGAAATTTGAAGCATGTTCATATGTGCTAAATGGCAGAAATAAACTCAGCTGGTAGAAGTAGACGCTTACGTCGCTACGGTAATTATGATGATGTTGATCAGATGATGTATGCGAGCTACAATGTCGCGAAACTTATAGGAACGAAAAAAACTGCACAGGACGCGAAACTATACTATATACAGATAATGAGGAATAGAGAGTGGAGCTGTTTTCTACTACTGACGAGTGACTGTACTTCACGAGTATATATTTAGAAATAGCATTAATTCGATTAGATAACTAAAAATGATAATGCTAAACCGATACTGTAACGGTGATGATCGTATAATGATAAATAGCCCAGGTGGGTCCCGCTTCCGTGCCATGTCACGTAAAGCTGTCGCTAGCAGCCAGTACGCGCTGCTTGGAATCATGGCCGAACAAATGGGCACGATCTGTCTAATGTAACTAAATAGGTGAGGTTGCCTGAACAAGTCGAACAGCATGTGGAGGTACATACACATTTTTGACTTGCACATTTTTATCAAATCTCTTGTACGATACCACATTATTACTACGGACAACAAAAATGAAGTTAGGAGCAATCATGTAACTATAGAAAAACATGCGTGTAATTATGATAATAATAGTAGAAACTATTTAGTAACCATCTGCGCCATTTGTCTCGATTGCCACACCCCTTTTCTAGTTCTCCTCAGTTTTCCTGATTCGGACGCCATATTTTCTTACTGCACATACATTGGACCAACGATTGGATGATTGCAGAAATAGTCACCTACGATTTATTCTGTTTTTTTTTTTAGCACCCTGTATAATTCGTTCAGACTATTACATAGTATGTTCATTTCAGGCTCTTCTTATTATTGAAAGCATTCCCTTTAGCTATCGATTGATGGTCTATAACCTCGTGAAGGATCACAGCGTTCGCCGGTTCTTTATGTTAACATCGTGTATGCCCTTGTCACCCCTTTGAAAATAATCGCTTAATCTAGCTTGCACGTTTAACCGGGTGAAGTACGGACGCCTTAAAATATCGCTGCACTTTAACGGTAATGGGGAGCCGCTACGGCCAGGATTCAACGAAAACTAGCGCAGGAGAAATGAAGCAATAGGCACGAATTTGTCCAACCTAGCCTTACTGTGAAACCAAGCCAGGTACGAAGTAGTGTAAACCAGACCCTAAGTTTTGTCTAAATTTACGTAGCTTATAGAAAAGGACTTAGTAACAGAGTGGGCAGCTAAAATAATGCAGTTATCATAACGTAGGTCGATTATAAGGCTTAGAAATGCTCGAAAGAAGGCCATAAATAGAACTGTTATTGAAGGATTTGCAACTCGAGGGTAGACATCCGGGAAAAATTGTGCTCTATAAATCATTCTTCTTAATCGAGATCGTCACCTATTGCTGCTGGTCTTACCAGATTCAAGCTACCATTTTAACTGGCAATAACAAATAGTAATTAGTATTACCGCTAGAAACTTATTAGTGTTATTATGTGATCAATAATGACCCTATTTCGTTTGCTCGATTGGGGCAATATAGTGTTTTTCTTGTTCGACATGTGGAAAACGAAATTTAGTTTTTGAAAGGATCTATGCTTCTGCTTAGGCATCTGAAGTAGCATAAGTGTTACTGATAACAATAATAATTACTATAGTAAAAGAACCTCAGCATCATCGCGTCCATCAACGCCATGACCCATCTATGACAGAGTGTTTGTAAATTTTGAGAACACACAAACAAACATATTGGCCAGCGTTATACATACAATGCAGTGAGGAAGTGCTCTACATTGAGCATTTATTGGACAAAGAGAAATATTGTTCCGACAGCCCCTTCATGTTAATTAGTTATTCAGCCACATGTCCTAAGTAGATTTCTATAAAGGAACGTTCTCCCAGAAATGATATTTATTTGTAATAATTTATAATAATGCAAGGACCAACAAAGGTGCATTTTTATCTCGCTCACAGCCTTCGTTAGGTTTTCCCGGTTAACTCAGAGACAGACTGACGCACGATGGTGCACGGTGGTGGATGTTCCTTTTTATTCACCTTAGTTGATAAGAGTCAGCTGAACTTTAAATTTTGAAAGTTAATAAAGTTGGTTCGAAACTAAGAATTTCCTCATGCAAAGGTAAGAATGTCAGCGATCGAAAAATCTGGGCAGGCTCTCTGCCACTTTGCGTGTCACTCAAGGCAGTGCTAAGCCGTGGATAATTAGCGACGCTCACATGTAATAGTCAATGTTGTCTCTTTAGAAGGGCAACGATCAACAGAAAAGCCCGAGCCAAGTCCTAAATCGACGGACTCTACAGGCGACGTTGCGGCGCCCGATCCAACTCGTTCTGAGAACTTACACGTCGGACTGAATTGGATTATATGGGCTAGGAACCGTATACGGGGTTGCAAACCTACTGGGCATTACGGAAACTTCTTGTTTGCCATCAACAAACGAAACAGGTAGCAGAAAAAGTGCAATGTCCGATTACGGCGCGAAACAGAAAAAGGTCATATGGACGTTACAAGTGCATGAGAAAATAGCAATCAGGATAAAGACGGAGGCGCCGTTTTCCGGATAACAATAATAATAATTATTCGATTGACTTATTAAAAGGTTTATAATTGCCACACTGATCATAGTTGCTATTATTATTACGATAGGACAATGCCGTTTACTCAAATGTATGATTTTTAATCACTGATTATGCGAGAGAAGCGCGTACCGGTCCGTATATAGCAGCTGAACGAGTATAGGACACGCGTAGTACTTATTTGTTGGCTGGTGTCGATGGCTAAAACAAATAGGAAGAAATTGCTTGGGATGTGTACTGGCTCGCAAGATAGGCTAATCATAACGCGTGCGGGCCGAAATCTTCTTAATTGAAAAAAGAAAAAAGCCTAGATGCCAGCCCGTCGCTCACGACCCTCCGGAAGGTCACATACGTTTTCACCGGGCTCTACAAACAAGGCCAAACTTGATGATGGACAGCCATATCGTTCAGGTTGGCTGGCATAGTACCCGATATAGAAATCTCGCTTGACGTATTTTCGAACAAGAGCTACTTCGAGGTTCACTACACGAGTACAATTAGCACGACAATAAACCGAATAATGTCATGGATAATAGTACTTTGAACTACATACGCACACACACATACTGAGCTAGAGTTCTGATCAAACGTCTGAACCTCAATCACAGTACATGCGCTTATTTGGTACATTTATTTTGCGATCCGATTTTCAATGTAATAGAGTCATTAACGAACGGTGTTGAACAAGCGGTACTGGCCCCATGACGGTGCAACAGTTGACTTCGGGGAGGCGTATGCGATGTAATATTGCTGGGAGCCCGAATACTCGTCGCGCAGTATAGGCGCCGTACGTAAATACGTGGTCAATACGTGAAGGGAAATCGGGCTTACCCGGGACCAACCCAGCCTAACGACTCTAACCTTCCAGCCTTTCTGCCGCCGTAGACTATAGGTCAGCTTTTACTAGCGGCAGAGTTGGTAGAGAAGGATAAAGTTATTATATAACATGATATATTGCATTTATTGTTTTACGATAGTCGACACACGTTGCTCTCTACCGTTCCAGGTTATGATATGCAATACACCCTATATATTCTAAATATTAGCTAACTCTATCGAGCTTGCACATCCTTCTCCGTCCTTAAAAAGGTTACACATATAGAAATAACCCGCTAATATTTACATGCTCTGCGAGAGGTCTATTAACTGAACAATCCTATGGAAATTGTTTTTGCTTTTGTCCTGAAGCCAAAGCCTCCTACACGCTGTAGTAGTGGTTGAAAGGTTTAACAAACCGATGAACGTTGCCTGGGTATCGACCGCTGGTTGTTAAAACTCGGAGATGGGCACTCCGATGTCTATCGTATCCTCCGATTTGTAGATATCTGCTATGTCTAAGCTATACATGGAGATCACTCTGACAGAATCCCTTCTATTAATTTTGGCATGCGTTATGCTTTTCGTTTACCATAGCAGAAATGCAATTATATGGTGCATACTCCAAGCCATTTTCAGGACAAACTTAAAACTTATATATAAATTGCTTATTTATGTTGTTCATTAACTGGCTCGTTACCAAATAGCCGGGGGCCTTACGTTTGAACCTTACATAAATTGAACGCAGCGAAAATCCTTCGCCGCTAAATGACGTCCCCTCTTCCATAACGAGAAAGCGGTCAACATAGTATTCTTCCCATGCGCCAACATAATAATAGTGTATACTCTGAATGGAAAAGGAAATCATTGCTTGCTACCTATACGTACGACAAAAAAACAACACTAGACAAAAACAAAATGGTTGAAATAGAACATTAACACAAGTATGAGTAACGAAAATTAATAGTAATACGAAAGAGAAGGAGAGCAAATGATCGACAGGAAAAAAAAGGCTCTTGTTAGGAGGTACTTGTACAATGCTGTATCTAATAATAAGGATATCCGCTGTTTCTTTACCAATCGTGTTTTCAATTAAAAAAAAAACTAATTTATACGCATCCTGAATAACGAAGCAGGTGAGACGGATTACGTACAAAGCTTTATTTATTTTAATGTAAATTAATGAATATTTGTTTTAGGTATCATTTGAATAAGTTGTGTGTATAATTTCAGCTATTTTGCGATGCGGCTTGAGACTTTCTTTGGGCGAGCTTTGCTTCGTCAAACAATAGGCTATCGCTTTAGGTAGCCACTAAATGTAAGTACTAAATGTAAGTAAATTTTATATACCCGTGAGATAATAGACTAAAAGCCGATGTTATTTAAACGATGACGCTAGAATTCCACTTGTTACAAAGTCGCTCGATTTAGTCAGCATTTCCAATGGCAAAAAAACTTCAGCAAACATTATTAATGCCTTTACTTAAACCGATTAGAGCCCGTTTCATCTATATAGGTCAAATATGAAAAAAAAAAATAGAAATATAAGGGAATCCTGCCCATGCGTGAAACGTGGTCAATACCACATCTGGAGTATGCAAGGGGCTTTACGCCGAACCCAAGCTATAACGGTGCCCCTTTTCATGGGGATATTTGACTTGCGTTCCTGTCTTCTGACCAACACCGGTTGGATAGTTTGCTGTCAACAGGTATACATAGCAATACAAGTTCCTTTTTGAACTAAAAAAAAATGATATATATATATAATTTTTTTCTGTTATATTCTTCCCATTTCTATTTTATCAAATAACCCTATTATCAAATGTCAATTGCTTTCGTATAGACGTAGTAGCTCCTTTGGTTATTTCCACCCGTTTTTCCTTTGGTAAATCGTCGGATCAAGCACCGTTGCTTTTATTTTGGACTTCAAAGTATCTATATTTTATGCAAATTTATATATAATATTTATGAAGCCGCGTTTTCGACACGTGGTTTATTTTATCAAGAAACTAACGATATAACCAATGTACGGTCATTGTACGTGTTGCATGTACGGAAGACAAGAGATGTAGGCCTATTTAGCAATTATCTTTCTGCAAAGTGGCTCAAGACGATGACTGTCGACGAGTCCGATAAGTCGAGTGAACCGCATTGTTTATACTGACAAAGCCCTGTTTTAGGAAGCACGTTCAACTACGAGGGTACTTGTCGTACGTGGTACATCTATTCCGAACCGTTTCAGCGTCTGTTTGCCCTCGGCCGAGGCCAAACAGGAGCTAATAAAAATGCTGTTTCTTACGATCCTATACGACATCGTTAGGACCAAGAACAAGTGCAAAATTTTGCAATCTGCACAAATGGTGAAAATACCGTAAGCAGCGAACGAGCTTTCCAACACTGTCATTTGGATAGCAGGAGTCGAAAAATAAAAATAATACCACCCGAACGACCTGGGGTACGCTAATCGATTAAAAAAAAAAAATAGGTCAATAGGTTGTTGACTGTTCCAGTTTTCACATGTCTTAGACTTTCCGCTGTTTTTTTGCCAACCAAAACCGCTAACTAGTATTGAAATTTTGATGCCTTATTTTGTTCGTAATGTAAGAAATAAATCACGCAAATTATGTTGGTTTGAAATAGTTACCAGCTAAGTAATCTGGGTTCTGGGAAAGATTCTATTTTTGGCTATTTGTATTTCAGGAGCACAGTTTTTACCAGATGCTATGGCTGATCAATCGTAGCAAAAAGAAATGGAATCTTGCAGCTGTACGCATCGCCCTCTAGCCTTGATTGGTTCCATCTATGAATAAATGATTTGAAGGAAACCAGGTTTTGAAGACTTATATGCTTCGGAATGATGGTTAGTATATATTAATACATCTGCTAGGAGTTACAAATGCTGATATCTATTATTTTAATCCATTACATTTCACAGTTGTCGGGAGAAAATAACCAGAGTGGTGTTCAGTGAACAAATAACACCCGCTACCAAGCCATTTAATTCATTAAAATCCGATAATAGCTAATGCAGATTTATTGCGTTGTATGGAGGGTAAAGGGGGTCCGCATGGAACGCGCGGTGCCTTAGAGACGAGACTGGTACGAAGATAAATAGCTGTTCTCATGGAACTCGCAGGATCAGGATAAAGGATAAAACTGCAAGCTCGGTCAAGGCTATCATTAAACGATTGGTTTTAAGAACATTTTTGAAGCGACCGTTGTTGTTTTGTAAAGGCCGTGAAGGTTTCTTCATGGCCAAAACTAGTCACCATAGCTAGAGGCGCAGAAGATGCGCATAGAGTCGATAACGCTTCCAACAAAGGATGGTAATAACCCATAGAAGAAACCTCTGGAGGATGTGCCTGAACGATAAAGACGATACCCTGTTTAGTTGATCTCGTTTTCTAGCGATTAGTAACACGGGATGAACCCGGAAAAATAGTATCGCCTTATTTGAGATGCGCGGATAAATAGACACCTGTTTCGACCCATACTAAAACTTTACCAGCACTCAAAAATTAATTCAACGTTAAAGTACACTTTTCGCTACGTGACGCCTATGCCTAAGCTAAAATTTCTCACACGAATCCCGAGCTGTAACGTATGCAGGCTCGTAACCGTGTACCACAATAGCCAAAGGTAAGTACGTAAAATACAGATAGCTTCCTACGTAAATATCTGCGTGTAGTCCGAAGACGTTTTTGTTCTTTTTTAAACTGACATAAAGCTTTTTCATTATGCATGGATGTAAACTCCACGACAAGATGTCAAAACAAAAGCCGAGTTGATCAGGCGAGGGCCCATTTTGTTCGTAAGCAGACATTTACGGCAATAATCGTTTATGCATCAAGCGCCGCCACCTTCAGCGCGAGGATACGGTTTCGTCACTGGCCCAAAATGCCAAACAACCAGATTTTGTCTTCCATGTGGTCTAGCAAATTGATTTGTAAAGTGGACTAATCAGCTATAGAGAACCGGGCTTGAGTCGTCCGATTCCAGCTAGTCGCTCTAAGACAGAGGCCCCTAGCGTATTCCTAATTGTATAGAAAGGTCGTGTCACTCCAAAAAATGGAGTAGGTCCGTTTGGTTGTTAACACTTTGTACTGCAATCGTTTGAAAAAAGCTTTTCTTAGCTTAGCGAAATGAAGCGTCCATGAGGCACAAGGCACTGGAGTGATTTTCGCAATTGGGTCCTAATCAACTCGGTACGATCGTAAGAGGTTCTAATTACATTAGAGGGTACTTTGCCCTGCTTCCGTAAAGAAACTGCCGGTTCCAGTTTGAGTTACAATAAGGTATCCCGTAATGTGGAATAACCGTATTTCCGTAAAATAATTTCGTTAAACGAATTTTCTTGCGCAGGGACCGTCCCCGATCAACTGGGTTGTATTCAATGCCAATGTTATTAACCTCCTTAGCAATTCTGTGAGCATTCTTTTTTACTCAGCTTGCCGGAGCTTGACGGAGGACATCTTAACGTACAGCAAGGTCGCAAATGCCAAGGGCAAACTCTATTCCAAGAAAAAGATTTCACCTGTAGACAAATCTCTGCTTAGCATTACCTCACATACCCTTTCTGTGACCGCGGCAAACTGTCATAATGAACGGTGCAGTTCTAGAATGTTAGAGTTTATGAGCTTCTAGAATTTATTCGTGGGTCACGCATGAAGGCGCAGTGAGCCCCTTTCACAGAGGTTCAGCAGAATCGTTTCTTAAGTGTCTACACAAAGGATTCGAAATTCGACATCTCTTAGTAGGCGGCGGTTTCTTTAGAAGCTAAGTATGGAAGAGCTATCGGTGCACGTGCATGCCTGTTGGAATTAGCTGAGACCATGTAACTCATGTTTCCATCACTGCACATCGTTGATTGTATCTGGTGGCCTGTATCCTTGCCATTCTATGCCAATCTAATTGCTATCACAGGAAATTCCTATAAGGATTTGTTCCGTATCTTCACTTATACGTACTGTAAGAAGATTTATCTTGCAGATGAAATGCATTAATATATATATATATATATATATATATATATATAAATATATATATTGTAAAGATTAATAGCAGCAGTGATTTTTGAACGCTCGCGTCAGCTATTAAAGCATTTAACTGATGTTACTAACGAACATAAAAATCATGGTTTAGGTAAGTGTTCATTACATAACAAGACATATACTGAGGTATATGGGTAGTCATGTACATTCGTCATACAATCAGGGTTGGTTTAGGTTGAACTATATATACAGTGCAGGCCTTTGCCGGGGCTAGCCATTATCGTTCTGTTACAGTAAAGATTTAGGTAATGCGTTCTTCATACGTGATGGTACCGCTATTTTAAACCGAGCACCTGCTAAGGAAGCAAGCAGATTGAGCTAGCGCAAGAGTTAGTTAGTTAGGACGGATAGAGTGGACTTTAACATATGCTTACGCACGTTCCGAATGCTAAATAAGATTATTCAGGCCACAGATGAAGCAAAACTCTTTCGAAAGGCCGAAAACTACGACCAGGCTCCTATCGCTTAATCTCCTCTAAACGTCACACTGTACAATGTGGACCATTGGAACGAGTTTTGCAAAGTCTGCAAGAAATCGCTTGGCCAGCTATTCGTCGTAGCACACGTTGTCGCAAGGGTTGCAGATGTAGATGTTGTTCTCGCTAGGTCTCTTTACGGAGTTGGCTACGTTTAGAAAACCGCAATAGGCGCTATTGTGCCCATGCTACTTTAGTGGTAACTTGTTTGCCTACTAACTTTAAGAATGCGCGGTGGTCAAAGTTCGAATACGAGCTTAGGTACACGTCATTTCGTGTTCGGAATTAGCCGTCTGAGCCTATATCTAAAGGTTTTAGTACCGAACTTGAAGTTGGAAACAGTTTTTAATAAACGCTGTTAAGTAAGGTTTGCTTGACTGCCCATAGCTTCACTATTAAGGGCGAGTTTCTATGTTTAAGTTTCAGATTCAACAATATCTCGCGTTCGTATCGATATTGTCTGTTACAGATGAACGTTTGACTAGCATGAAATTATTACCACTAAAGAACAAGCTAATTGATT